ATATTACATGGCAATGTAAATGATTTCCCTCTTTTATTACTATTGATTGCACCACAAATTCAACTGCTAAAGATTTTAAATATCATTAATTTAATTTATATATTATAATTTGATACATCATTCATACGAATATATTAATTTAATTTAATCAACTATATATTTTTTTCAAAGTTTTTTATTTTGTAAGTTTATTTCATGTCTCTAAATATTGACAAATAAAGTAGATAAGATCGATAAATAACACAAAATACTACTATAATGTCGGATCTTTAAAAAATGTCAATTCAATTCTCTAGGTAGAGTTCTTCAGATCGGACCAAACTGATTTTAAGTCATGTTTATTTATTATGTCTATTGGAGAACGAATTTTAAATAGGATCATTTTAATTAGATCGAATTAGATTTTAATTTAACACATTTAAAAAATACATGGAAGAAGCATGATTTTCCAATTGCAATTAACACTTCATAGATACTAATGTAACAGGAAATAAAACGAGACATAAAAAGCCACGTAGAAGAAAAGTGAAACCCACGCAAGAAAGGAATCGAGTGGAATAGTATGTTCTTAAGTAGTAAATTGAAAAACACATGAAGATTGTGTAATGCGGTAGTATTATTAGTACATACGCTAGCAAAGGTAATTAGCGCACTAATATAGATATAGATGTTTTTCTTTTTCTTGGGTTAAATGAAGTTTTTTTTAAAGAAAAAAAAAAAAGGAGAGTAGTAGTTGGAGTAGTAATTTTGGGGGCAAAATAAAAATACAAAGAGAATAAGGGATGAGCATCTTTTGGAAAGCGGTGAATGTCGTCCCGTTTGTCGAGCCAATTTTAAGCTAACACCAATCTCAAGATGATCTGATTCTCTCACTCTTTCTTTTAGTTTTGGTTTTTCTCTCTCTCTATTTTTGTAACTTCGTTCGTTTATTCGCTTTGCATCTGAATTTACACTTTGAATCTTCCTTATCATCAAAAGCATTTTCAGTCCAAAGCCACATTGTTTGGGTAATGGGGGGTGATGATGGGGCATTGGGACCCTTTATTTGTGGGCCCCACTTTTTATATGTTTAAGGTTTTACTTTTATTTTTTTTTTATTACTAAAAATACGTTGTACTCCCAATTTCATATGACATAAAATATTATTTTAAAACTTGATCATCCTTATATATACCGTTTATAGGGTTTTGCATATACAGAGTAAACACAATTCCTATTTAAGTTTGAAAATATATAACAAATTCATATACTATGCAACATTCATTGCTAAACAAATAAAGTACTCCGTAAATGCTTAATTATTGTCAAATTCTTAATCTTTTCATTTTAAGGTTGCATTTAGACAACATTTAAGTGATTTTTATGTACAGAATTTGGGCCTTTGAGATATTATTCAAGTATATTAGTGTGGCAAGTTTTTTTTCCTCTTTATTTTTTAAGCCTTTTAACGTATATTGTTATACTCAGATTAAATAATGAGCAGAATAATACGAAGCATTCAATAAACTTTGTATAAGTTGAACTAAATTCTCAATTTGTGAAACTCGAAATAACTAAATCTAATTAAAGCATAACATGAACTATGTCTAGATCAAATCAAACATGACTCCACTGTAACAAAACTTAATTGATCCAAACACAGTATTCTAATAATCAACTTTATTAAAAAAAAAAAATTGTTTGATCTAATTAATGAAATCTTAGTGAAGACGAAACCTTATCCACTAGTGAAGTCATGATGAGTGGGGATAAGAGATTACTTGCATGAGAGAATATGTAAAACTTGATTGTACTCTAATTTGATAAACAAATAAAATGTGTCGTCTAATTAGAAGAGATGATGAAGAATACCCTGGGCTTAAAGCCTTAAAGGTGGGTCCAAATTCTTTTCGAAATCGGTTGGCAGAGATATGATCCAAATCACTCTCCTTTTTATTCCTTTTTCTCAACCTTGAGCTATGTAACTTTGACTCAACAATCAATCTTACTACAGGAGAGTGAATTGACGAAACTTGAGAATTTTTCCAATATTTATGCACAAAAACAAAAAACACAAACTCATGTTAGTTGCTTTGGTGATGATTGCAACGAATCCTACTTTTTCAAGAAAAGAAATAAAATAAATTAATAATGAGTTTGCTCAGATCAAAATCGATCTAAGGGATCTTCTATTGCTTGCTTCTAAATTCTTATACTCTCTTATCACTTTTTTAAAAGTTATGAAATGAATAAATAAAAAAGTAAAAAAAATCTATCAATCTATCATAGCAGGTTACTTAGATTCTTTTTTTGTTCATGGAATTGAGGTTAATATATATGATGACGAGAAGACCATATGATTTCCCATGCAAAAGTAGTACTCCATCTACTACATTAAGCTAAGGGTTTTGATTATATTGTTTTCACGTGACATGCAGCACATACAGCCATCAGGGTACGGCCACTGCTTAGCTTATTGTTGTCTATGTTGAATATAAATAGTAACATGGACTTTTTTTTTTCTTTGGGTGCTAAGATCCATAGTTAATAGGGATACAGCCTAGATCCTACGCTAAGGACACGTATTATATACTATTATCAAAATAAGACTTCGTTGTTTACTTCGTATGATTTTTTTTTTCTTCTCTTATTTGATACAAAGTATGAGTATTTGAAAGCTTAGACTATAATCAACTTCATTTGTACTCCGCATAAGCAAACAATTGCTTATTTCAGATCAAATCAGATCATGAACAACTATTAAAATTTAAGCTAAATTTATTTTTAACTTTGGGTTCCCGATCTAAACCCTACACTTCAACTTATATACTGCAGATTTTTTCATACAAACTCATGATTAGGGTTTTGCTAATTACTCCGTATATCACTACACCTTTATATCATTTGAGGATTTGCATGGCAAATATGTTACAATAATTTCCCTAATATCGGGTAATGATGTAGCTTTGATTGGACTACCTATAAATATACTACACGTAAGTATGTAACTACTCTATAACAGAATAACAGTATGTACTATATAACGGAGTGGTTTGCTGTATTGATACGAACTATGAAATGACTTTGATTACGCAGATAAGATTGGTCATTGACTCATTATTGTTCATGCGTATTTTTGTCGCACTATCAAATGTATCATGTACTAGTGGAGAGGAAGTAAGGGGGTGGAATCATTTTATTGCATTGGAAAATTAAAAACTTTGGGGAGGTGGGGGTCACTTACTATTATCATCAATTGTTGAGAATTGAAAATAAAGCACTCTACTCAATTACATAGAGGACTAATATATAAAGGTTGGATGTGTGCATGAGCTTATTATGAAACTAGTGCTTCCAATTAGTACTAGTCAAAGTACAATCAAAATGAGTTAGAGAAAGTTTCATACTTCAAATAAGTTTTAATAGAACAATAAATATCAAACAATGCAAGCTCAATTAAGTGACAATAGTGAATAAAACGTACAATAAGTATGTTCTTTGTTTCCTATTATTCATTTTTTTTAGTTCATATGAAATATAGAAGTTTTTAAAAGTTAGCTAATGTGTAATATATTTAAACTGGACTTATCACGTGATATTGTCACATTTATATATTCTGGAGGATGCATCGATAGGGGTAAGAACCAGATTAACGATTAGCTTACATGAAGCAACTAATTAATGTGTACAAATGAAAATTTATCATGAAATCAAAGCAAGTTGCATTATGATCATCATGTTGTATTATTATAGAGGAAGCTTATTCAATTACAAACATAGAAATTGAAGATTTGTTGGAGCATTTAGCTTACAAGTATATATGACAACTCCTAACCAACATAAAGTTACTAAGAGAAATTAAACTCAAACTTAATTTGAACCTAATCGGATTAGAACAACTCAAATCTAACCCCATTCATTTAAGCCAATCATTATATGTTGTACTAGTATTATGCACCATGCCAATTCTATTACTAATTATTATTTCAATACATTGCGAAAATTAACCCGACATCAAATTTAAATCCAATTTTTTGACCTAAATTACAAGGAAAAAGATAGGTCATTGTGAAGGAAAGTTTTATGAAAAAATCGCATTTTACTTAAGACTAATTGTCCTATGTGGGGTACGACAAAGAAAATAAAGGAAAATGAGCGGCATATAAGTTTGGTCGGTAGCTCTACCATTTACCAATTGTTTTGAATTATGAAGTTTTTCGAGTGGATCAAATTATCCTATCAGATTAACTATAGTAACATGCTACTCAAAACTCAATAAACCAAATGCTTAAGGGTATTTCCACATACAAAAATTTAGGTCTCAAACTTTAAATAAGTAGCTACAATATAATTTGTTTTTTGCTGGAATAAATTTTAAGTAAATTTTGATCCAAGGCTTACCATAATATCCTGTACTAAGAGCAACTCCAATGTCAAGCTAATTATCAAATTAGCTCGTCATGTCAAATAAGTTTTTAAGCTAATTGTCATTGTAGCTACATTGAGCTCCAATGGCTAGCTATTAGCTTGCTATTTAAATGAACCTCAATTAATTAATTAGTTTCTTTATATTTAATTTTATTTATTCTTTTTTGGCAAGTAATTTTTCAAGCACATTAGCTTGGTGGGCCAAACTAATGGCATTTTGTAGCTCCAATGGTCAAACTAATAGCTAGGGATTATATAAAATTGCAAGCAAGTGTCTAGCTAGCTACAACCATTAGAGTTGCTGTAAGCTACATTAACCAAATTAGAACAAGGTGAATAGCTGGTTCAAATATGATAATTTATTTATCAATCTGTAATACATATGAATATACAAAAGCTTATTTAATCTTATTAGAACTTACTTTATTTGTAAATTAAATTTGGATAAACTATATTAACCAATCACTCCTTATTAAAACTTTTCTTATTTAAACATATTTTTCTAGTAAATAAGTAAAAATAAGATAACAATGCCGTAAATATATATTTTAGTGACTCTCTCTCTCTATATATTTTTTTAACTTAAGGGGAGTACTTGTTGAATTAGCATTACCAAATATGGAGGGAAATAATAATATCCACAAAATGATTGTATTTGAATTCTAAAAAGGGGAAAATAAAAAGAAAAGCAAATTGAAGTGGCACAACCGGGCACCCTTCCTAAATGAAGAGTAATCGTATAAATGACTGTATATGTGTTTAATACTGAAGAGGACTGTATTCCTCGTGATCGGAGAAGGCAGATCCCTGGAAGACTGTTCCCGTTAGTCACGTGGGTTCTTTTGACTACCACCATCTCTTCAATTACCCCCTCTTCTCATTCTCTTACTATAAATACTCCTCTCTCTCCCCTCCCTTACCTTCAATTCATTCCTCTCCTTCATTATTCACTTCCTTCACTTTACTCTTCTTTTCTTACGTATATTCCACGACATTTCGTTGTGAATACGGTTCACCATCCAAAAAGAAACAAACCCACTACCCGACAAAAATATATATTCGTCTTACTTCATTTCATCTCCTTCAACTCGAAGTGAAATAAGCTAGAGATTGATCGATTATAATAAATATGGTTGGTCCGTGTTCATCTTGTGGTCCTTTTAATCAGTACTGCGGCCACCACTCAGCCGCGTACTGGCCGATGCAACAATACCCTCAATACAACAACAACAACAACAACAACGCTGCTTCTTATGATGATGATGAGCCTGATTACATGTACTCTTCTTCATCTTCGTCGTCGTCGTATTCGTCTGTCGATTGTACTCTTTCGCTTGGTACACCTTCCACTCGTATTACTAATGAACAAACTAATAAACCTACTCCTCATCGTAATAGCGTGTCTTCTTTTTGCTGGGATTTGCTTCATCCTAAGCAGTCTTCCAGCTCTACTCCTAAGGCTAGCCGTAGCAGTAACAATCATGCTGCGGCTGCTAGTGGTGGCGGTGATCCTCTTTTTGTTCGCCGTTGTGCTAATTGTGACACCACCTCTACTCCTCTTTGGCGCAATGGTCCTCGCGGTCCCAAGGTAATTCAATTCAAACTCGTTACAAACTAAAACGGTCTTTAGTGACCTCGCATTTTCCTTTCAAACTTTATTTTACTAGTACATTATTAAAGGATCAAACTTATTGCGGTCCCAAGGTAATTTAATTAAATGCGTTATTACAAACTAAATGTGTTTTGATAAAATTAGTGGTGGATGAAAAGAAGTGAGCTTGCATTTTCCTTCTAAAAATATTTGCAATAATAAAAAAGATTAAAATTAATTAAGAAGATAAAAAGGATTCCTACTTCTCCTTTATATTCCTTTTGCCGAATTCCTTGTCCCTTGTTGGTGTCATTGTTTTATATTCAATGATTTCTATTATCATCAACTCAATTAAATATTTAAATGTCAGTTCAATTAATGTATGATTTTATGAATTTGCAGTCATTATGCAATGCTTGTGGAATAAGGTTCAAGAAAGAGGAAAGAAGGGCGGCAGCGGCCACAACTACGGCCGCAGCCGCCAACAACGGTCCAACTGCTGGAATGATGGACCCACACTACTACAACGGGTCATGGGCTCACCAATACAGTCAGGGCACTCCACAGAAAATGCAATGTTACGGAGCTCCGAACGAGTTCCGGTTTATTGAAGATGACCGCGGGTCGGATTCGGGTATTCAGTTCCTCTCTTGGCTAACCCATGACAGACCTAGTGGTCTTGTTCATGACTTCACCCGTTAAGTCGTAATGATTTCACAGTCATTAATTCAAAAAAAGAAAAGAAAAAACAAAATTTTATTTATAGTAAGAAGTGATGAAGAAGAATGATTTTGCCAATGATATCGGAAAAGGAAGAGGACATGCAATGACGACGACGTTTCATGGAACAAATGAGTTTTTGTGGAGGTTCATGATGGTGATGGTTATGATTCTCTAAGCTGGTCAGAGTCTTCAATAACTTCCTTTTTCTTTTTTATTTTATTTTTTTTATAAAAAGAAAAAAAAAAAAAACAACTAAGTTGTCGATGACTAGACTACTACCCTTTAAATTAATTTTCCACTTTTTTATTTTATTTTATTTATAATTTGTTCTTTTAGAGGCTAGATAGAGTGCAAATGGGATAATTCTATGTTGTTAGCTAGATCTTCACCTTAACTTTAATTCTCTTTCTTTTTGGTTTTCCACTTTTGTCAGTAAGTTAGTATATATTTTTATATTATAAGTAAGTTATAACCAACGAACCTTTTGTTAGTCTCAATATTGTGTAAGCTATTAGAGCATTTAGTACTAGTCTTTTTTACTGTATGATGAAAATGATATATGATGATCATTATATGAATCTCCTTTTCTTTCTTCGTTCTTTGACTTCACTTTTCTCTTTTTGTGTTCAAATCTTAGGTTCCTCTCTAATTGTGTCATTGTGTCTGTGCTCGAATACTACTAATATACTACGTACTCACGAATCGAGTCAAATACTACTATTGCCAACTCGATCAATAGTATGTAACATGACGAATCTTAAATTATAGTATATGATCGTAGAATTACTTACCGTTCTACAAAGTAATTTTAATATATAATTAGCAAGTGGTTTAATTGGTAACAAATCTTCCGCAACTACTATACTAAGAAGATGAGCTCGTGCATGCGGCACAATTACCGTGAAGCAGAAAGACATTGAGATCCCAAATCAATGTCGGATTACCACTAATTATACTGATTTTCTTAGAATTAACAGCAGTCCAACTTTTTTGTAAGTTCAGTTCGTGAATGCATATATGACATGATATGTGACTGTCTTTTGTCTCTTAATTGGAACTCTGACACCTCCAAATTCTACTGTACTCTACTCCAAGTTTATTTACTCCTCTATTATTAACAAAAAAAAAAAAAAAGAGTTAAAAAATTTGGTCTATTTTTTATTACCGAGATTTTGAATTGAAAACATGTACTATTTGCTATATTGTCCATATTGATCATAGATGTTCCTGCACATTTGATTAAGCATATAACGACATGGATCTACTACTGTTACATTACAGTATATATATTCAGCTCAAAGGTCAAGACTCAATAAGAATTAGCAAATAGTAACTTGCAAAGATACAATGTAACTTGATTGTACGATGTACATCTTTAATAGCTTCATCTGTTATTTGATTAATGTAATAGGTTACTTTGAAACTTTAGCAGAGTTTTTAGTTACTTCGTATAAATCAGGTAGTACATCTCTCATAGCCAATTAACTGTAAAATGATATCTCGCTATAGATTTTGTGTTTTTCCAATGGGTTAGCTAAGCATAGCCTATGTCAAGTCCAGCAAGCCTTGTGCCATGCTGCCGAATTGAAAGGATTGCGTGTTTCCTTGACCAAAATGTGGTTTAGTTAAGCCCAAGTTATGACCCAATACACAAAATATTATACTAGACCTTATCTATGTTACTATGTATCTGGTTTTTTTTTCATAATGTATTGGGATGTGTTGTGCTTTCGAGTTCAATTCACTTCATGTCTTTATCCAATGTCAAAGCATTATTGCCTTAAGTAGGCCGAGTTTAGGCTCACATTTGAAAGGGAGCTTGTGAAATACAATTAGAGTACACGATTAATGCATATGTTGAAATAATTAAGTTTATATTTGTGCTTCCTTAATTTAATCAATAATTTTTATTGTATATACAAAGAAAGTCTAAACTACCATTAGTGTGATGCATAAATAAAATAGTTAAACATGAGCAATATGCTAAGAGAAACAAGAAAAAAAATAATGAAGTGGATCTGATGATGTGATCTTCAGGCGCCGCGTAGAAGAATCAAGGCGGTCAAAGCATATAGTATAAGGTGTAGTCCCCCCCCCCCCCCCCCAATACAAAAGCCGAGGGTTTTAAGAGAAAACAAATAAAGGGAGATTCAGTATGTACTGTTTTTTCTCTTTTTTTGTACAGTTAATTTTGATTAATTTATGTGATCAGAACGTTGGCAAAGAGAATAGAGACTAGGGACGAGGAGAAGAGAACAAAGTTCTAACTTTTAAGTTGCAGAACTTGTTTTTAAACTATTAATCAACAAATTTATTATAACAGATCAACAACGATCTCGAATATTTTACTTGTAACGAGTATTTTATTTTTGATAAAATTGTAAAATTATATATCCTGCGGTCTTGGCAGATTCCATACCCGCAGACGAGGTAAAGCATTTAAACAAATTGGTCGGAGGCTTTAAAAATGACACTTTGAGTCTGCTGCTTTGGCTAAGCTACCAACTTACATTTATAAGTCTGCTTATAATTCAAGGTATTTCATCTTAGGTTTGGATTCTTCTTCTTTCTTTGTCATATTGTTTGGCACTTTTGTGAAGTATCTAATTACAGAATGGTGGGATCAAGAGAACATAACATTGTTTTATAAATCTTGATCGTCCTTTTTTTGGGGGGGATCATACCCAATTTCATTTTTTATAGCTTACACTAGAGAATTACAGCTATATTTGTCCTTAATTTTCTTTTATTTTTGATTGATATATTACGTGGTCTAAATAAATTAAACAATCATTGTCCCAAATTTTGTGTTATGGTAAAAATAACCTCACAAGAATTATTGTCCATTTTTACTTCCAATACTCGCTCTACGCAATAGAAGAGTAGAGTTATCCTTTTAACATTGCTCTCACAAATTCACAATGGTTTACGATTGACGTTTTAGCTACGATAATGTCAATGCTAAGATTGCTAACGTAATGTCCCTAGCTTGGTATTGATGTACATTAATAAAATAGTGGTTATTAAAGGTATTTGATATGGATTGTAAGGTATTAGGCTTGACGATTGGTTTCACAAATTTTTCATATGTTCAACAACTGTGAAGCTATGATGTGGTGTCATGTCATTGTGAAGATGGAAGGTTCGCCAAATAGATTTTCATGATACTATATAGATTGAGCACATATGAATAGGGTATGTGACATCGACGTCCTAACATGCCTTAATCCACTCATCATAAAGTTCAAGCAAATAACTGACACAAGTACACACCCCTTTATAAATTTAAATCATCATCTTCTTGTCTTAGCAATCACGTATTTGAAATACTACTTACAATTAAAGATCATCCTAATGAATAATCATGCATTTTGTGTCTATCACTTTTGGACGAAAAACTAGTTTCTTCTCGTACACCTCCATATAATTAAAAACACAGGTTTATAAATGTTAATGCTTAGCAGTAAAATCAATAGTTAACATGCCCACCACATGAAACTATAAGTGCATATAAATCCACTTTGTCATTTATGATAATCTAGTACACAAAAATAATTGACATTCCAAAAATAGTTCGCTTATCATCTGAACAAATTCTAGGCCATTTTAAAAATTATCAGAACTTCCGAAGCTTGAAATTTGATCCCTGAAGTAATATGAGGGGCTATGTATAGCATACCCCAATTAAATGACCAAAATAGAATAAAACAAGAAAGGACAACTTTGTTCCTATGTAGTATTTGTGATTCACGGGCATACGATGTTGTCTCTTGCTCTGTTTTCTTACTTATTAAAGATGAAATTTAAGTGATTTTAACACTTATCTGGATTTCTGAATCAAATTTCGGAAGATACTACTATTTTTATTGCAATCAAATTGTTTTTATTGAAAAATCAAGAGGATTAAATTCATCCTGTTTACATTTATACAAGCTTTTATAATCACATGGATCGATCAGTATTTTTAATGGCATCTTGGCGTCTTACATGTGCGGGGTAGTAATAAGTTCTTGATCTTCCTACAATTTTGATCTGTCATATGTGGGTAGAGAATACAAAAAATGGTCTTCTTATGGAATTAGAAAAAACATTTGGCAGGATATATGTTCTCGATTCTCGTACTAACTTATCGTGAGACGTTAGAAGTCATTGTAGTGTTGATCTGACCATAAGATCGTTTCATGAGATAGTTGTCAATTGCTATGAAATTACTTTGTTTTTACATTGCTATTGAGAATTGATTGATTGTTGAAATAAAGAATTAAGCTATTTTTGTGTAAATATATTATTTGTACTTCGTATATTTGTGCTTTTGTACGTGCTTTGACTAGTGTTTATTAGCATTTCAATTATAGTATGTTGCGTTACTATGTTTTGCGTGTTAATGCTGTCAAATGTCATTTGGAGAGACGGTCATTCAAATTGTGTATTGCTCCATTCTACTATGTATCAATGTATGCTTTGGTGGATAAAGTTTTATGATCTATTTAGTTGATCTTCTATACATCTATACAGGACATAAATCCATAATATATTTGTATGTTCAATATATCAATTTGAAAATCACAAAATTAAATATCTCCACACATCAAAATACTTATAAAGAGAACCAAGATTAATATTTTAACCATAAATTCTTTTCCATGGGCTAACCCAAGTAGTTTACAGACTTTAAAGTATGTAACTTTTTTATTTTTTTTTTCTTAACCTTGGTAAAATATTGACAAGATTTCAGTTACCAGTAGCCAGAAGAAGAAAAACCAACCCTACCCACATGGCCCATAAAAAATGGGCTTTCTTCATAACATTGGCCCATAAAAAATTCACTAATTTTTCTCTTTTCCTTAATTTCTTCTTGCCCTGGACTTCAACCTCAGAAAACACTCCTTTTTCTCTCTCCTCCCCTTCTCCCGCCTCTCTTCTGACCTGCAACTGTAATTCATATTCACTTTCCTTGCCGCCGTCGTCGTCTCCTTTTCCGTCACCGTCGGTATTACTCCGGCGAAAAACAACCGGTAAAAATGGCGGTTGAACCACTAGGACACAGAGTAAGTGACCTCATTAAGGACGTCACCTTTGAGCTTTCACCTTCATTTACTAAACTCGTTGATAACTTCGTTTCTTCTATTAAAAATGTCATTGCTAAAATTCCTGAAGATTTCCAGGTTTTTCTCTCTCCTCTTTTCTCTTTAATTCTCTCTTAAACTTCAATTTCTTAAACCCTAAACCCCGTTTTTTAATTTTGAAAATTTTAATTCATATATGTGCGAGTGATTTCAGGTTACTGCGGGTGAGGCGCCAGGTTTTGTGAGAGATGTAGGTGCTGATAAAGTGGAATTTCAATTCAAGAAGCCTAAATTTATTGAAATTGGTGGAAGTTATTCAATTGGTTGCATTGTGAAGCCTGAAGTTAATGTTGATCTTCTAATTCGTTTGCCAAAGGTATTTCTGATTCTTATACTTGTATTTAGCTGATTATGATTATATATACATGTTTGAAAGATAGTAATGTTGATATTTGAGTGCTGTTTTTAATTGGTTAGACCTAAAAAAGTAAGAACTTGCCACGAATTTAAAAAATTTCAATATGATTAAGATTACACTTTTTTGTTACGTGAATGGATAATTGTAAATCATAGATTTTTTTTGTTGTTGAAATGATTGTACTTTGGAGATAGATGACTTGATGTATGGCAAATGCTTATTTGGAGGGGTTTCACTGAACAACTAACAATTAATCAGCTAATGCTCTTGTTGGGCGATTGAGGGATTGTTGATGAGTTGATTACATCCAACAGGGAAAGACCCGGTCCACCTGGCCTATAGAGCTTTTTTGCATTTCGCTTGTATTCCCAAAGAACACCCAATTCACAGAAACATTTTTTTTGAATAGTAAAGTTAATTCATTGATAAAAAGTCATACGACATCTACAAATGAGATTCGATTAACAAATACATAAGATATTGAATCAAATAAAAAATTCAAGTGGCCGCATATGGTTCTAAAAGCATTATATGATCCAAGGATGCGTTCGTTACCACCCTGAAAGTTTTCGACACCCGCCCTGAAACCTCTTAAAATGGTTTGATGTCGTGTATTATTACCTACAGTTTTGGATAGTTTTCGACTTTTCCAGAGCTGTAGAAAAAAGAGGGCGAGATGCTTCTAATGGACCCCACAACACCCTGAGAGGCCATTTGGGTGGTTGGTACACTTCACTTTGCCTTTAAAATGTCTGTTTAGCCGTTTACGGGCACACCTTCCTTCACTAACTTAAGGCCGGCACTAGCATATGCACCTTGTGTATGTCAAATTTTATGCTTGCTGGAGTAAAAAAGGTGAATTTATTTATAATATATACCGTGTATTGGCAGGATTGTTTTCTTGCAAAAGACTATTTAAATCACCGGTATCATGCCAAAAGGTTCCTTTATCTTTGTGTTATAAAGAAATACCTGGAGTCTTCTGCAACAATAAGCAAGATTGAATGGGCTTGTCTCCTAAATGAGGCTCGCAAACCTATATTGGTCATTTATCCAGGTTTGTCAACTTCTAATGTCAGCCTTTTGACAACTTTCCTCATTAATTGCCAATCAGCTTGATTGTTTGTATCAGGATTTCTACAAATGATTTTTTTGTTGGCTTATTTTCTGACACAGAAGTTCTTTTGTCCATTTAGCTTCTGAAGTTGCCAACATTCCTGGGTTTTCTATTTTAATAATCCCTACTGCCTCGTCCTTATTTAGCATCCCCAAGTTGAATTCGACGCGGAATAACGTGCGTGCCGTGAGCCAAGGTAAGGAGAAATTTCATTTTCTTTCTATTTATGGACAATTGACTTCTTAGAGTAGAGCTTGTTTATTCTCCAGATGGAGTTACTTTGTTTGTGATTCATCAGATGGTAGTTTGTTACCTACACCAAAATATAACAGCAGCATATTGGAGGATATGTTCATTGAAGATTTTGCAGAATTAATCAAAGAAAAGTTTCGTGACTGGGAGGAACTTGGAAAAGCTTTGGTTTTAATGAAGGTCAAATTTAATTGTCATTTTCCTCTGTCCCTAAAGTTTTGACGAGTCTGATGTTGAAGAATCTGGTGTGGTGTCACAGGTTTGGGCACGCCAAAGAAGTTCAATATACAGTTATGATTGCTTGAATGGTTACCTTATGGCTGTCATAATGTCCTATCTTGCTGCAAATAGAGTCGGTGGATTTTTTAACAAGTCAATGAATGCCATGCAAATTTTTCGTATAACTCTGGACTTCATTGGTATGTTACTGAACCTATATAGATGTAAAATGGACATTGATGATTTTCAACTCAGTGCCATTTTTGACATGGGTTATTTACACTGTTTCTTTGTCCCTTCCCCTCGTTTCAATTCTTTTTGTGTATTTGTTTTTGTTTTCAGTCTGATGCATGTGAATTCCACATTGGAATTTTGTGGGCTATGATCCACAAATCATGTATAACTGTATAAATTTTGATGAGAGCAAAAATTTGATCATAGATTCATAGTCCACCAGGGATATCTCTTTTTTCTATTTTGATAATTTGTCATGACTCTTGAGGCTGTTTACAATTTAATTCAAATTTTTTTAAAAAAGTTTGAACATAAAAATTTCAAAATGTTTTAGATCCTAGCATTTGTATCATTTAAAGTATTGTATCTGACAGATATATAATAATAAGCAAAAAAATATTCCTTAGCTGGGGCCTAATTGGTGTCTCTCATTTTTGCCATTGTAGATAAGTATATATATTCTAGAGTTGGGTTAAATCAATGGTTAAGAAGCTTTGAAAGATGCTAGCTTTTCTTTCATCTAGCATATGGTTTGCTATCTTGACTTTTTTGCTTGTTAGATTTCATATTCTATGTTTAACATGCTTATCTTGATTTCAGCTAATTCAAAATCATGGGAGAAAGGCTTACTTTTACAGTGCCAAGGGAGTCGCCACATTTCAAAAGAGGTGAAACACATTAAATATTAAAACTTCTCATGAGCTTCACCTAAGTTATGCATTGCTATGGAGGTGACTTAGGCTACTTTATTGTAGAACTCTTGATTCCCTGAAGCGTGAATATGTCATGTTGCTTGCTAAAATCTATAGAATTTCATAAGCTTAAGCTAGATTACTATCAGTTCAAAATTGCAAGGCATATTTCAACTATGACCTAATTAATAGCATTTGCAAAGATCGATAAACCTATTCTACTTGTGACAACACTCCTTGTTACTTCCGCCGTTTTTTTAATTGCAACGTTGGGGATTTTAAGCATGCCAATGCACATTTTATAACATAAATATCTTAAGTTGTGTTTGAGTGAAAATTATAGAAGTTGATACTATGAAAGTATATTTCGGTATGAATTTAACAATATTTGACATGACTATATTTTTTTTCAACATGGAAATTACAAAAGATGATCAAAGGAGTGTGTGTGAATAGTGTCATATTCCAAATGTTGCGATTTAAAAAAAAAAAAAAAAACAGAGGAAGTATTTATCTAATAGTTAGACAACTTTCCCCTATAGTATAGTTTGTGAAGATTGGTTTACTGGCCCTGAAAGATGTAATTTATTTATTTTGTTTCAATAAGTATCAAACTCAAATTATGTCTGTGACCCTGCTTTAAGTAATGTTTCTCTGAAATTCTGATACAATCCTTTTCAATTTGAACAATGTCTGTTGATCTAGGAATTGAAGGAAAGAAAGCAATGTTTGAGGACATATCCAGTAGTCATATGTGATCATTCTGCAAACTTTAATTTGGCATTCCGGATATCAAAGAGCAGCTTTCTTGAGGTATTTTTGGCCGTCTTTTTTTTTCTTCTTAATGTGAATTTCTGACAGTCAGTCTTTATTGACGATGGATTTTGTTTTTGCATGCAGCTTCAAGCGGAGGCTGCTTTGACACTTGACTGTATTCAAAAATGTCAAGATAATGGATTTGAAGAAGTATTTTTGACTAAATCTGACTTCGCTGTTAAATATGACTATTGTGTGAGGTAAAGTTTTAATTTAAATCTTATAGCTGCATAAATGAGATATTAAGTCCTTAAAATCAAAGTTTGCTATGAATCATCATAATTATGGACTGAATTCAGGGATTCGTGCAAGAATAAAGTAACTAGGAGTTTGATTGACTAAAAACTATTTACTGCCAATTAAATGATTATTCCATTTTCTCTCCCAAGAAACTCTCTCTCTACACTTCACAATATTCAGCATTATAATCTCTCCCCAATTTACTCTTATTTATAACGTTATTTCTATTACTAACTCACATATCTTCCTATTCATGATACAACTAGCTAAGTTGCTCTCCCTATTATGCCCTCCCAAAATACCAGTTTGTAGCAAAGTCGTATAACTAATGTGCTTTTAATGTGTCTTCAATATTATTTTACTTCTGTCGTATAAATCCATGGACCTAAAACCATTTACTCAGTAGCTGCCCATCTTGTTCTAGGAAACAGGTGCATCACCGGTCATAAGGTGGTCTTGGAAGTTACTTTGTCTAGTTCTTACTTAGAGTTTTTGCACATTTTATTATGGATGTGAATAACCTATATGTTATAATAAAGTTTAAACAAGCTCATTTGGTGGCATCCATCTCACTAATTTATAAATTGAAAATTTTATCTTAATGAAACTGGTTTCTAATGATTAAAACTGATAAATACTTGTTTAAATTTGATTTTGACTTGCTCTTTCCACCCCCTTCTATCTGTTATTTATTTGCTAAATTTTTCTCTTTGATCTGTCTCTTTTGTGGTACTGTTTTCTACTATCTCTCTACTTTTTCACTCTTCCTAGATGTTTTTGCTCAACTAATGTAAGTCTATATACACCCACCCGAATATAGGTTGATGGATTCAAACGTTTTAAAACAGGTTACTCACGAATTACACTAGAAAACTCACGAAATGGGATAGATAACCAAAACTCAAGAACACACTCAAAGTGCTGGGATCTTAGGCCAGAACTCAAGACACACTCAAAGTTCACCCTAATCTTATAACTCAAGAACAAACTCAAAGCTATAAGGAAACATTTTAACTCGAGACAAACTCAACGCAAAATGCTAAAGACACTCGGTTTTTTTTTATCATTAATCAAAAGCTGTGATTCTCTTCTAATTAGCTCCCTATTTATAGGAAATATGGGCAGCAAGGAAATGTAAAGATTACAACTTAACATCTTCCTAAAACCGTCACATTAATTCAATGGTTAAAACTAAATAAAACTCTAGCTCTTAATTCACTCCTTTGTAACACCTATTTGAATGGGTAGTTACAAATCAGCAATTAAGAGTTACAATAACTCCTAATCACACAAAAACTTACGGCTAAATAAGAGAGGAAGTTAGCAACTCCTCTAAGCCTTATTACAACTTAAATAAAAGATAAATCAAACTTAATTATATAGTCCAAAATAGTAAATGGGCAATGCACACTCCGCTGTGGGCTTCAAGTGATCTCCCAAGTGAGCAAAGTGACAAATTTGGGCTTGAGAGCAAATGGACTGATTCCAAGAGTTTCTAACATAAGGGGCAACCGGTTCTTGATCCATGGAGCTTCTAAGTGGGTTGCTTGATCTTGGATCACCAACCCCTTTTTGCACCTAAGAGGGGGACATGGGAAGTGTATAATGTGTTTTAAGTATTTCCTCCAAATTTGTAGTTGTTCCATGTTTGATACTTACACTAGTCACATACCTCCCTTGTCCATATCTATTTTTACTAGTGTGTAAAATCAAGTTTTATATTATATAAATGTTTTTATATTTGTTTCAATGTATAATTTCAGATAATCAACATTTGTATTTGTTTGCTACTTTTAAATTATTGATGATCAAATATAAGTGTAGGCAAATGTGTCCAATCAAATGGAACAACAATTTTTTTTTTATTTTTTTTTTAAAAGGAAGTGTTATTTTTAGAAGTTGCACAGAACACGGCCCTACTTATTTACGACATTTCTTTTCTTAAAAAAAATTTGATTTTTCATATATTTTATGTTTAGAAATTTCACTAAGGTAACTTTTGTATAGTTTTTGAATGTTCTTTATCCGCCTTGCCTCATCCATGGGAAGATTTTTTTTGCTGTGCTCTACAAGGCTGTAATTATCTCTTTTTTTGTGCTATGTTAGGTTGAACTTGAAGGGAAATAGTGGCGTCTTCGCATCTGGTTATGGAGTTGATGATGAATGTTGGAGGTTATATGAGCAGAAGGTGCATTCTCTTTTATGCCAGGGCTTGAATGACAGAGCAAAGTCCATTCGTGTAATTTGGAGAAACTGGTCCAGCAATTGTCGTATTGAAGATGTAAGAAATCCAAGTTTTGGATTTGGTCTTTGCTTACACATAACAGTTGTTTTCTCCCGATAATCAACTTTGTTTGTACTGCTTTTTTGTAGGGGTTCTCATCACTTGATAATGAACCATTGCTCATTGGTGTTACTTTGAGTAATCTGGAAAAAGCTCTTAGACTGGTTGATAAAGGCCCTAACCCAGAGCATAAAGAAGAGGTAATTAGTCTGCCATTGTGATTTCATATCCTTCTTTGCTCTTCTGCTTCTCTAATGACTCATAATTTCAATTAGGTTACCAAATTTCGTAAGTTTTGGGGAGATAAGTCTGAGTTTCGGAGATTTAGTGATGGTACCATTGGAGAATGTGTTGGTGAGTCATAGTTTATAATGCACTCTGTTAATTGTTACATTGAGTTAAAATATGTCAAGATAATATAATTATTCTACTTGATCGAATCAAATAGTGTGGGAGTACAAGCAGTGGGAGAAGCATCTTATTGTCAAGAGAATTGTTGAGCATGTATTATCAAGGCATCTTTCTCTGTCAATCAAAAATGTAGTTGTTAGTGCAGATCAACTGGATTTTTCTCTCTGCAATGGCGGTGCAGGTATCATAATGATCTTTGGCTTTAACTTGATTTTATTTTTATATTTTTCAGCTCCAATTTTTCCTCTCTACTTTTCCAAAGTATGACATCTTTAGTTTTTACAGATCCTATATCATTTACTGGAGGCTTGCTTGAAGCATATGAAGCTTTAGCTAAGCGTTTGCGCCTTTTGGATGATATTCCTTTGAAGATATCTAGTGTCCAACCCTTAGATTCAGGTTTTATTTCCCTCTAAAAGTCTAAAGTGTTTTCTTTTTTGCTGCTAAACAGAGGTCAATAGTTTACTTCATTATTAATGTTTTTTCCCCCCCTCCGATTCTCTTAAAACTTTCTGCTATCAAATTACACATCCTATCTTTTTTGTTTCGGTGATCATACTCTTTACTCTGAATCTTTTTGTACTTGGGTCTTTAGGTCATATTGCATTGGTTAGGGGTGAGTGGAGGAAAATGATTTATGTGATTTATGGGGATGATATCTTTGTCTATGTAGCTCACCCCAAGCCTTTTGGGGGTAAGGTTCTGATATTGCTGTTGCAACTTGTAAGTCCTGGAAAGAATCAACACAACCCCAACCTGAACCAAAATAGTGGATTTTGACCAAAATTTTGTGATCATCCATTTAATCCAAAGCAAACAACCTGGAATATATTGGATTAAACTTGATCTAATGTGTTTATTCCTTGGTGACCCAGAAACCATTGTATCTAATGTAGTGGAATGAATTTATGAGAACTTTCATACACAAAATACCTTCAGTTGTTACCATCTCTGGGTTCTACATGGTTTCAGTTGGAATTAGACATTACTTGTGTTTCGATTTATGCCATTTGGCTATAAAAAACTGTTTATTATAGTCTCTATGTGGCATGTATGCTGTGTATCTTGTTGAGACAGGTTATACACATACATATCACATTAAATAATTTAAGTAGAAAGAGCTTCTTAAAATTCCTTGGAATCCTTGGGTCAACCTGAATTGAAAGCTTTGGGTCATAAACAAATGTTGTTTATGATTTCCTTGTCAATTCTGTTCTCATTAGGGAAATGGTTTGTTTTAAAGTCCCCACTCTGCCTGAGTATTTCATTCTGTGACCTTGTTTGCTTTTCCGAGAACTGAATTACATGATTCGTACAGGTCCTGGAATTGAGGATAACCATAGAATTTCTAAATGTGTGGTTTTTTTTATTTTTTTTATTTTTTTGTCTGTTTTCTTTGCATCTTATGATTGCGTGGCTCTCTGAATTACTTATTAAGGAAAATATTTAATTTTTTGAAATTATAATGTGACTGGGTTAACTGTTTCAGTATGCCAAGAAAATATAGGACTTGGGAGGAACTAGGAGTATCGTTGGGCCAATATTGTGTTTCACTGGCTCTGATTCATCCCACAGCTTAATTGAACTTGCATATTGCTACTTTAACCATACACATATGCTAATGATTCAACTTAAAGCATTTTTTTTTTCATTGGGGTTATAAGTGTTCTGGCTGTTGGTTGTGCATTGATTGTGATTTATTATACAGCTTTCAGGTTCACTTCTGTTTTCCCTCCTGAGCCTCATCCTTTGGCTGGAGATAAAACCTTCATATCAAGATCGGTGAAGGTTGCTGCAACTTGTGTACAGCCGGTGGAAGTTTTGATTCAGGTAGCATATCTACAACTAAGTCTTTGATTTGTTATCTCACCATTAACTGTGTTATGACACTTTGCAATGAATTTTTATTTATTTAATTATTTATTAATTTATTTATTTGTGTTTCTTTGCTTGATTTTTCTGTAAATCTTGTTTAAATGTTTTTGTTAGTTGGAGGGATCAGGAAATTGGCCAATGGATGAATTGGCCACTGAAAAGACTAAATCTGCCTTCCTTCTAAAGATTGGAGACAGGTAAAAATGGTTGAGTATTATGTTAAGGTTATCATTCTATACTATGTTTTAACTGATTGTCAACCTTCCTTTTTGGCAGTCTTCAAAGTAAGTGGGGTGTTAGCTGCATTGCCACAGAAGATGATGTGGATGTACTGCAATCTGGATATGCTTTTCGGCTCAAAATTTTACATGAGAGGGGTCTGACTTTGGTGAATGGAGAGAGTGAGTGATAATAAGCTGGTACTTTTTAACTTGTGGTTTCATGATTCTAGATTTTACGGTTGACTAAACAAGGATAGCAATAATGTTTGTAGGAAATCAAGTCAAGCGGGTGTCTTCAATAGACAGGAAATTATTTATTCAAAGCCAGCATTCTAGCATGATAAATGGTTTACAAGGGCGGTGTCCCATTTATGGTCCAGTAGTCAGGTATAACTTTCTTGCATATCTCTTATTTGATCTTCCATTGAAACTAATGTGGACCTCATTGTGAAGGCTTGCAAAACGATGGGCTGCTTCACACCTCTTCTCTGCTTGCTTGGGAAGTGAAGCTATTGAGCTCTTGGTAGCTCATATATTTCTAAACTTCAAACCATTTTATGCTCCTAACTCAAGGATTACCGGCTTTTTGAGGTTAGATTTCTTCCATACCTATAAAGGATTTCCTTACCTTAATATTACCTCTGGGTGTGTATTGGCAATCCTGTTTTAGTAATGATGCTGGAACAAAGGTCTGCTTGATTCATCTTGATTGATTTGATTGATCATATCTCATTGCAATGATTGCATTATGTGGCAAATAAAATATAGTGGCTTGAACAACTAAACATGCATGAATTCTCGAGTGTGCTTGTGTAAAGGGATTCAATTTGAAGTATTGTGCACTTTCAGCCTAGAAGCCAAAAGGTTCCTTGTAATATCTACTCCGTAGGTTGTATCACCGCACTGTAATACATTGTAAGGTTTTTCAGTTTCCCAGTGTAATAATGTGCCACAACAGTTGTAAATCTTCTTTATATATCATGTTGCCTCATTTATACCAAAAGTGAGTTCCCTTCCAATTTTTTTTATCAAGCTTTTGTTTGACACTTACATGTTTTCACTTTTCAGGTTCTTGAGATTTTTATCAGAGTATGATTGGAAATTCTCTCCTTTGGTTGTTGATATAAATGGCGACATGACTGCTGATATTGCGACAGAGATCAAGGTACGGGTTGGAAAATATGAAATTCATTTGCTTTGTCAAAACTCAAAATTTACTTCACCTGTAACAACCATGGGATTTGTTACCTTTTATTGCTTACAGGAGAACTTTATGTCAAGTAGAAAAGCTCATGAAAGAAGTACTAGTGAAGTTAGTCCTGCAATGTTTTTGGCTACGACTTATGATACATTCTCTGAAGCTTGGACATCCTTTTCACCAAATCCTCTGGTGAGTATTTCGTTCAAACCATTCTTACAAGCACAAGTTAATAATAAATTCTCCAGTTCTCTGTAATGATGATCCTTAATTCAGCGTACAATTCATTGATGCTGTTGATTTTGATGTATAAGGAACTTAAAAGGTTGGTTGCCTATGCTCGGAGCAGTGCTAGTCTTTTGACTAGACTTGTAGAGCAAGATCTATATGATTCTCGTGGATGGGAGGTGAGAATGGAATTAATATTTATTCCTTTTTATAAAATACAAATTATTCATAATTCCTCAATATTTGTGAATTATTCACTCTCTTTGTTGTATCACAGTGCCTTTTCCGGACTCCTTTAAACAACTATGATGCCGTGGTTCTTCTGCATAGAGACAGATTGGCGTATCCACAACGTCTCCTTTTTCCATCTGAGGTTAAAGAAGGTATCCAGTATTTTATTATATAGGGCTAGTACCAGGCTACCAACTTTTCTTTCATAATTCTTTGCTACTTGCTCCAATTTATGTTTCATTTTATCTGCCCTCTATGTGATTCTGATGGCAACAAATTCATAGGCAAGTATGTGGCTCGTGGAAATCCTAGCAATTATTTCTCGCCCATTATTAGGCCCAAGGATATGAAGGGAGGCTTGGATGTACTAAAATCAAAGATAATGGTGGATTTTGATCCTCTACAGTGTTACCTAGTGAATCTGCAGGTAATTTGGTTTGTTTCTTTACTTGTAATCTGATCTTTTTTTTGCAGTTTCTCATCACCCTTCAATATCTTGACAGGGAGGATTTTCAGACGCTTTCAGTCTATGGTATGATTCTTTGGGTGGTGATGCTATAGGTTTAACATGGAACAAATCTATGTCAAAGGTGTGGTTTAACATATTAGCACTAATGCTGTGAATTTATGCGAGTTTGTAGTCAGTTTTTTTGACGTGTTTGTTTTATCTCTAATCGCAGAAACGAGATCGAGAGGAAGATAGTAAAGATGCTACTGATATCTTGAAAGCCGTTGGTGAAACTGGTAAAGGATTTGTGAGGAGTGTCCATCTTCTAAAGGCTCCTAGGCTTTGTAATTAGGAAATCTCTTGATCTTGAGTGCCCAATTGTGATATTGATTATACCAAAAAGCTTTAGAACTACACAATTTTGCCAAATCTTTAGGGTTATGGCTTGCAATTTTGTACCATCTCAAAGAAGATTATACTAGTATTTAGGCCCTTAAGCAAGTGAAGTGCAATGTTGATGAGATATAGTGTAATTCTTTCTAGTTTAAAAAATATAGCATTTTATGCCAACAATGTTCTCGCCGATGATTTGTAGCCCTGCTCAGCTGAACTTTTTATTTAAATCTGATGTAACCCTAATTTTGAGAGATACGTATATAATATGAGAAATCTAATAGTGTATTATTATCAAGTGAAATTCATGTTTTTGCTGCTATCAAGAGAAATCAGCCCAGGCGCCTCAACCAGTGAACTGACGTCCAGGCCAGGCACCACCACCAGTGGACGGACTGGCGTTTCTGCCAGACGCCGCCGTTACCGTTTAATTTTTTTATTTTTATTTTTTTTGCCTTTTTGTTTTTTGCTTTTTTTTTCTTTTTTTTTAAAAAAAAAAAAAATTGAAAATCCGGAATTCTATTGAAAACAGTTTTTTTTTTTTAAATTATGTTTAATAAATTTATGTTTTGATTTAGGATGTGGAAATTTATGTTTTTTTTATTTGATTTTATAAAAAATATATATACTAGACTTATAAAAAATAACACATAAAATTAATAAATATTAAAAAAAAATCAAACACTTAAACAAAAAAATTAGACATAAAAAAAATTATTTAAAAGTAACACAAATTTTCTAATTTTCCAAAAAAAAAAAATTAAAAAAAATATATATAAGGCAGGTGGGGCGCCTGGCCAGGACGCCCACCCACTGGCGGTGGCGCCAGATCCGGCAGCCATAGCCAGTGGGCAGGCGCCTGGTTTGGACGCCTCTACTGTTGGCTGGGCTTCCAAGCCACACGCCACGCCACCGGCACTGGCTGCCGGAGCTGGCGCCACCGCTAGTGGGTGGGCGTCCTGGCCAGGCGTCCTGGCCAGGCGCCCCGCCTTCGCCGCTTATTTTTTATTTTTTTTAAAAAAAATAATTTAAATAATTAGATTGCCCCCAAGTCGCCGCCTTTCCTCCGTCGCCACCTCTTTCCCTTGCTGCCTCGACAGAGGAAGATCTTCTGATTTTTTTTAGAGAGATGTAGTGAGTGGTTTTTTTAAAAAACGAAAAGGGCAATAAGGTCACTTCAATACAAACTTGTGGGCTTTATGTGGAGATTTGCGGGCGATGTTTGGCGATTCACATATTTAATGGTTCTTCAATTCTTTTTTTAAATGTGAACCTTAGTAGAGTTCAAGTCTAAAATTTTAAGAGTCAGAATAATTGATCTCCAATTCTCCATGTACCCCTTAGACCCATTGACGTACATATAAAAACTAATTAAAATGTGATGTATAATATTAGGATACTCAATACTCACATTACACAAGGTGGTCCATATGGTTCCCATAAAATGGATCATTCCATTTGTAAGATCTTAGGATTGACTTTCATCGCTTGCTCCAAAAATCCTACGTATAAAGCAGTAGCAAAATTGAAAACTTGTATTTTTGTCAATTTTGTATCAAATGCAGAATTATTGCAGACACCAGAATACCTGACTTAGAACAACCCGAAATTTCTAAATTTCCCTCCAAACTCCTAACCCAGGTATTCTTTAGATTGATCGATTAATTCAAACAATACGTAAAATTGACCAAAATTCCTCAATCAGCAGTGAGTAGAAAGCAAACACAGCAGAAATGGGACTTCTGAGTATCATTCGCAAAATCAAGAGGAAAGAGAAAGAGATGCGAATTCTCATGGTGTATGTTTTCTCTCTCTTTCCATTTTCCTTTTTACTGCATTCTAATTTAATTGCAATTTGAAATTTAGGCAAATTAATTGATATGAGTATGATTTTTCAGGGGGCTCGATAATTCTGGAAAAACTACCATCGTTCTTAAAATCAATGGCGAAGACACTAGCGTCATCAGTCCTACACTTGGTTTCAATATCAAGACCATTTCCTACCAAAAGTATTTTCCATTTCCTCTTTTTTGAATTTATTTTTTATTTTTTAGCAATTTTTTTTTTTAAAAGTTCATAAAAATTGGATTCCTATGGTTTAGGTTTTCTGTCTTAATTTTTGCAATTTTGATTTAATTATATATGATGTTTCTGTAAATGGGCATATTCATTGTTTAGCTTATGTTAATGGTGTTTGATTCTATAGTAGTGAATTTCACACCCTTTTATGCCTGATTGTAGTTGTGAGACCTAAGCAATTTGAATTAGAATAATAAGGTTTGAAGCTCTTCAATAAGTAGCCCTGTTAGTCTCTCTAATCCGAACTCTTAGCGATCCTTGTTTGACAGCCGGGACTTAGTCTGCTATTGTATTTTGAGTTTTGTGGGAGATGAGATTGAAATCTTTTTGATACATTTTTGCAGGTATACACTTAATATATGGGATGTGGGTGGCCAGAAAACAATAAGGGCCTATTGGAGGAACTATTTTGAGCAGACTGATGGTTTGATTTGGGTAGTTGACAGTTCGGATCTTAGACGATTGGATGATTGCAGGAATGAGCTGCATAATCTACTGAAAGAAGAGGTATTGCTCATTTGTCTTAATCCTTCTTCTTTATTGTGTATGCAACTTTGCATACATTTTTTGCCATAGTTGTAATAGCCTATAGTGGGAATTTTGTAAAATTTGAATTATGACTAAAAATGTCAAATATTTCAATTAATGTCTTTTTGGGTATGTTTTTCAACTAATATTCACTCTATTATGAAGGGCCTTCCATAGTGTTTCTCTTGTCTATGGGTGAGGCTAACCCTAAGTAGGAACCTCATTTTTGAATTTGATGTATTGTAGGAAATGGAATGATTATGGTCCGGTTGGATTAATAAGTTTCTTATATTAGTGGCAAATGTATATGTTATTGGAATAAACTAAATTGAAGTAATCTGTCTCGTTCCTTTGTAGATTTTTCCATTTCTCATGTTAAACGTGCGGGAAATACTTTAGCACACCATGTAGCTAGATGGGATGCTAGAGGTTGTAACGAATTTGTTTGTTTAGGTCCGTTTCCTCAAAGTCTCCTAACTTTGGCGGAAATCGACCTACATTAATTTTATTCCGCAGGTGTTATCAAAAAAAAAAAAAAAAAAAAAAAAAAAAGTAATCTAGAGGTATAGTACTATATAACTACGAGGCCATAGTGTTCCTTAAGGTTTATATATCAGACCTCTCCAAAGAGATGCAGTTGGGTTTTTCATGGAATAAACATGGGATATAATGTGTTGTTTGATGTGCTTTGCACTCACTTCATCCAACCACTAATGTGTAAAGGAATCTATAACTCATACCAGTTTACTGCAGTCGCCATTGAATGAGGATTGCAAGTAGATGAATCTTTCATACACATGCATACACCTTATATTTAAATTACTACTAATTGTGCCTAAAAATATGACCAAGTTGTGTTTCTTTTGTAAATTTCAAAACAATTAATAAATCTCCATGTGCTTGGTTTTTCTGCAAGCTTGCTGGTAGGGCTGCACTCTTGTATTTTTAAAATCAAGAAGTGTTAGGAGGCTATATTAATTAGACTGGAGGAAAAGGACTGGGTATAGATGTCAGCTTAAGATTTCACTTAGCTCTATCCCCACTTTCAAGTTGTGTTCCACGTGCCACATTATATCATTGTAGCTCATGAATACATAGGCTGAATTGAAGAATATAGTTAATATACTGAAGTGAGGAAGTGATTAATTAAATTATTCATGAAGCGTTGTTCTTAGTTAGCTTTGGCTTTGGCTGATAGTTGATGTCATTTCAATTTTTAACTACTAGCAGTGGCTTCTATATATGGTGCTTTCACTAGTTATACTTTTAAACATGTTTCTGTAATCCTGTCAATGTTTTAGCTCTGTAATTTAAAAATGGCTGGTCTGCTAGAGCTGCCACTCAAAATGCTTTTGCCCCTGTGAAATGTTTTTGTCGTAGTTTTGTATATCTATGATCACTTTGTGCAAAGTTTTGTGCATCTATGATCACTGTTGTTTTGTGATCACCTTTATAAAGTAACATACAAATTAGTTTGATACAATTTTGGTGAAACTAATATTTAAGTAACGCAGCATTACAACATGCTTTGAAGTTCTGCCATCAATTCATTTTGGAGTCAAAGTGAGTTGGTGATATGAGTTAAGTTAGGGTGATAAATTTTGATATTGGGTTGTCCAGTTTGTAGGCCTGTGGCCTCTTCACAGCTACCTTAGCAGCCTGTTTGGAATCTTTGGACAGCAAAGTGGAAGGGAAAGGGAAGGGAGGGAAGAAGGAAGGGGGAGGAAAGGAAGGGAAGGGAGAAAGTTGGTTACATTATCCCTCCAAATCTTTTCAACATTGGAAGGATTGGTTTATAAAAGAGGGAGTGAAAATGAATTCTTCCGTTTCCCTTCCCATCCCTCCTATATTATAGTCTCCAAACAAGGGATGGATCCCTTCTTTTCTCTTCTTTTCCTTTCCCTCCAATTTTCTCAATCCAAACAAAGTGTAGATTTCTAGTAGCCACTAGAACCCAAGAATTCTTTAATAAGTAGTTAAGTATTAATGCCTCATTTAAACTTGTATTTTAATATGCTCATCTTTTTGCTGGCTGACTTGATCATCTGATTCCTGTGATTTCTCCAAGTTTAGCTTTTTGGTAATCTTGCTTATCACTCTCCCATCCCCCAAAACTCATACACAAGGGTGTAACAGCTATTTGTGGCTTCTAGATCTGCAGGGTCTAATTGTGTGCTATTCTGCAGAGGCTATCTGGAGCATCTTTGTTGGTATTTGCAAATAAGCAGGATATACAAGGTGCGCTTTTGCCTGATGAAGTTGCAAAAGTAAGGTTCCTTCACTCTTCCACACTCCAACAACCCCCCCTCCCTCCCCACCCTCCTCCAATAAAGAAGAGAATTGGGAAAAGAGGAGAAAAAGAAAAGCATTGTGCTGTAATTCAAGGAATTTTTCTCTCTCTCTTGTAGTTCGTTGTTTATTTATTGCCTCCTTTTTTTCCTTACCATTGATCTACACTTGCGGAGTTTAAGAACTGTGGGCTTATGGATGATATCCTCTCTATACTTGTATTTAAATGTGATGGTTGCATATTATCTTTCCAAGTAATAAAATGAAACCTTTCCTTTGGTTAGGTGCTCAACTTGGATGCCATGGATAAGACACGACACTGGAAAATTGTGGGTTGCAGTGCTTACACTGGAGAGGGGTTGCTCGAGGGATTTGATTGGCTGGTTCAGGATATTGCCTCTAGGATCTATGTGCTTGACTGATGCTAGTCTTTGCTTCATTGTTCTATTGCTGACACAAATTTACAGTTTGTCGAAGTCCAGAATTTTTTATCATCTGATTTTGTATGGAGTACTTCATATGACTTCAACTTAATCTTCTCAAGTGCATCAGCTCAACTTCTTCTCTAGTGCATCAGTGCCATTGGTTGAATGTGATTCAAAGGACTACACAATTTTGTTAAAACTTGAATATCGGGGAGGTTGTAGTCTTGTAGATAGGCAGATGCTTTTAGCATCAGTTTGAGTTTGATCCCCCTCTCCTCCAACCCCAAATATCTATTACCCGTAATACCTGAGTTTTGGGTTGTTTTTATATGCATTATGTTGTGGTGTGCCATGGATCGAAATGTTTACAATCTTTATATGCAGTTGTTTTCGTACCTCATAGGCTCCATTCTCTTCAACTAACTAATGGTGTGACATGGCTGGTTGTCATGTTGAGTGACATGATAGTTTACTCATTTTGTTGTGCGTACACATACATTTTACTAATACTTGTAATAATGATAAAATCATAATCAATGTTCAATATTTGTTTAACGTGCTCTCATGAGCTTGATACATACAGAGTAGCCTACTTTAGCGTAACGTATAAGCTGCACATAACAAATACTTCATCTTTGAACTTGTATTAACTAGCTTAAATAGCATGCTTTTGAAAGTGTAATAAAACTGATAATAATTAACAGATATATTGATTTTATTCTATTAAGTGACATTTTTGAAATTAAAATAGAAAATCACATACAATTAAATTGATTGAAATATTCTTAAAAAAAAAAAAAAAGAAGGTGAAAATACAGTAATACCTAATACGTTGTAATTTTGTATGTACAGTATACAATCGTACTTGATTGGTTTATAGATACTAAGAAGTCCACCACCTAAGACTGAAGACTGTCACTGGGACTCCATTTAACACTCTCTTCCACACTTTCACTTTCTCTCTCTTACTTAATCCTCTAATGTGGCGAAGACAATTCAGCAGTAGCGCAACTGCCATTAACGCGCTAAAAGCCAAAAAATGGGACGCCGTAGTAATTGGCGGCGGCCACAACGGCTTAACGGCGGCGGCGTACTTAGCTCGCGGCGGCTTATCCGTCGCCGTCATTGAGCGCCGCCATGTCCTCGGCGGCGCTGCTGTTACGGAGGAGTTAATCCCTGGGTTTAAGTTCTCTCGTTGCAGTTACCTCCAGAGTCTTCTTCGTCCTTCCATTATCAAGTACTTTTTCTCTCTCTAAATTTATTTTCTCTCTCCTGATTTTATGATTTTATATCTTAAATTATAAATTTAGGAGATGAATGAATGATGATGTTGAATTGTTGATGTCGATGATGATTATATCATGAAGTGAATGATGATGATGATTGATTGATAGGGAGTTGGAATTGGAGAGGCATGGAATGAAGATGCTGAAGAGAGTTCCGGCGTCGTCATTTACGCCTTGTTTGGATGGGAGATATCTTTTGTTAGGGCCAGATAAAGAGCTTAATCGTTCCGAAATCTCTAAGTTCTCCTTGAATGATGCTGATGCTTATCCTAGGTATCCTAACTTTTTAGGTTTTTGCAAGAATTTTTGTTGTTTTTTTTTGTTGTGAAGTAATTGCAATAGTGAAATTTGTTTGAGATATTTGGATATATTGCTATATGATCATTAATTGCTTGAATTAGTTCAAAAGATTGAGATAAATGTATATGATCATTTTTTGGTTGAATTTAGGAAATGTACAAGACGTAGTGGTATGTTTTTGCATGATTATTTGTAGCTTGAATTGTGAAACAATTTGTTTAAATATAAACATTTACGAAATTGTGCTTCATGGCCTTCAAGTCACGTGTTGCAAAATATATATATATATATACAAGTATTTCGTATGTGAAAATTTGTGCATCTAAATTGGAAATGGTTTGGAAAAGCATTTGGATGATGTTGATAATATATGCCTCTCCTTTTTAGCTTCAATGTGTTTCAAAATGCTTGATTTCATTCTTTGTGGTTTTGATTTAGTTATAATTGTCTAATCTGGCTGTTGTAAGATGGTGTATGCATGAATGACAATTATGACATGAAGTGATGAATGATCATGAATGACAATTATGACATGAAGTGATGAATGATGGTAACGATTCTAACAATTACAAGTACCGTGTATGTTTTAGATTTGAGATGTTATGCTTGACTGATTATATTGTAGCATCCTGGATATTTTGTGTAGTGCATTCAACTAATAAGTTTGATAACAAGAAGTTTGCCAGTATCAAGATGAGGTATAAGAAGTTAAAAACTCATGCTTGTGCAATGTGCACCTGCACTTGTAATCATTTTGCCGTGGAAGATATACCATTTTTAAATCGATGTTGATGTGTTTATCTTGAATTATTTTGATGCCCACATGTAGATATGAGAGTCAGCTTGAAAGTTTCTGTAAATTTTTGGATCCGATTCTGGATTCACCGACTCCTGAAAATATAGAAGGCACCTCATCTTTTGGTGACAAGATGAAAAATAAGCTGTACAAGTCAACTTTTTGGTCGACCTGCCTTCAACGTGCGGTCTCCCTTGGGCAAAAAGAGATGGTGTAAGAATGCAATATTCTTTCTATACACAAGTAGTATATACTTTTATATATATCGTACAGACTACAGAGTAATCATATTTGCTGATTGTATAACCTTAAATTTGGGAGCTATAGTAACTCAACTTATTCTTGCAATGCACTATCCTGTTGGATGACAGGGATTTTATGGACCTTCTTTTGTCCCCAGCTTCGAAGGTTCTAAATAACTGGTTTGAGGTAATGACATCTTCAGTTGCTATGGTCTGACCGATAAACTAACCTGGCTGAGCTGTACCATGTGTTTTACTTGTGGAAACAACCCCCTTGACCAAATGTGCACACTGTATAGTTTCATGTGTTCCTTTTGATGTAAGCTGTCACTTCAGTATTTTCAAATTTTACTGTTTTAACTTCCTGAGTTTGTATGTCTCTAATATATGCAGTCTGATGTCCTAAAAGCAACACTAGCAACAGATGCTGTAATAGGGAGCATGGTAAGTATTTTGTTTGAGTTACAGTCAGTGATATGATTTTTTTATTTGGTATGCATGTACTGGCAACTGTATCCTCAGGCATCCTGTGTGAATCCCCGAGATCTAATTATGTTATGTTGTGTAAATAAAACTGAATGTGAGCTATCATTTACTTTAATAGGCAAGTGTAAACACGCCAGGTAGTGGGTATGTTTTGCTACATCATGTGATGGGAGAAACAAATGGAGATCGTGGCGTATGGTCGTAAGTATCTAAAATCATGCAGAGTTTCATCTTTGGACTTTTAGATTCATGGTATTTGTAAGTGATGTCTAGTATATGCTGTCCAAATTTAGGCACTTTGCCTTACACTTGGCCTTGGCCTTTTCCTAGAACTTGTTCATCTATGTGGGTTAAATATAGCTGATTGACAAAGGAGGGAAGGACCTGTCAAAATACAATATCTTTTGTAGGATCCAACACACGGTTAGTCCTTAAAATTTATCCATGCCAATGATATGTTTACTTCTTTTTTTTTTTTTTTTAAGCCAACAATATGTTTACTTAGAGCTTCTGTTAGAGTATTAGACCAGCACTTTTGTTGTTCTAAGCCCTATCCAGCCTAAAGATGTCCTAAGCCCTATCTAAGCTTAATGTCTAATTTTATAAGCTAGTATACCTCTTGTTTCATGTTGATATACACACTATAAAGCCATCTTTAGTTCATATTGGTGGTGAGCAGTCCAGGTTTGGTGAATCCATCACATGAATGGATTCAGCACGTGATTTCAATTCTCATTGAATTCTTATGACACCTACATTATCTTTTGATGTGTGCCCCATTCCCCTACCCCTTAGTCCCTTACCTTCCTCAAAAAAGAAAAAAAGTGCTCATCAGTAAAATTAGCCCACAGACTAGTCATCATACTGTATGTCCTAAAGGAATGTGACCCCTTGATTTTGGCTCATGGGATAAATAGAATGAGTGAATGTGACTTGGCAATGAAGCTCCGACTTGTAATTTATTTCTTAACATAAATTTAAAGTTATACTAGTCTGTAACATTTTATGTTTAGGGTTGATTCTGCAAAGCCCATCTATTAGTTGTGGTTTTACTGTATGTTAATAGATTATGTTAGTGGGAGTCTTTTAAATACATTCATGTGCATCACTTGTGTTAGTGACAGTACATTTGGCATTTTGGCCACCTTAAATGAGTCATAGTCACTCCCATCTAGGTTAAATTTCTTCACTATGATGTCCAGATATTTTGTGTAGGTATCCTCAAGCAAGGTTACTATGAAGTGATTGGAATCCATTAAATATGATCTGTGTATAATTGCATAAAATAAAGTTTTAGAATTCGGCTCTAATCATATTGTAATTCATGAGACACTCAATGATTGGCAAGGATACTGGGGAGATTACTTTGTGTTAACCTTTGTCTTCTTTCTTTAGAACATGAAGACAAATTTATTACGCTGGCCACGAAAAGACATATCTTTGCCAATTATGTTCTGGAACTGTATTTTGCAGATATGTGGAAGGGGGAATGGGCTCTGTCTCCTTAGCCATCAGTCATGCTGCAAAGGAAGCTGGAGCTCACATAGTGACTAGCACTGAAGTAAGCATTAAAATTTTCTATTTTGTTGCTGATGAGAGCTGAAATTCTTCTTTGAGTGACTCATGGTTTAATTCCCTTGCTAAGTAAGGATCACTAAAAATGTTCTGTTTTTTTTTTTTTTTTTTTTTTTTTTTTTTTAATTTGGTGTGGGTTACCTTGGCGTTGGATGGAGTAATGGAGTGTTGTTTTATTATACGTTGGAGAGGCACTAGCATGAAATTCTGTCACGTGTAAGGACATGTGATATCTAATGTAGCTGGCAAGTTGCATGTGTGTATATTTTTCCTTTCACATCCGACCTACCCTGTTATATATGCTTTAATCCATACTAGTTAAATTGGCCTTCTATTCCTAAGACATCCCAAGTTCCCTTCACTCCAATATAGTTGTTGGCAAAAAATTTGTGTTGCATGTATGTTGTTTGCCTTTTGAATTAAAGGGTCTTTTAGAATCAGCCTCTTTATAAATTTTTATAGTAAGGGATGCATTCCGGAGTCATATATAATATTGGTTAGAACCATATATGATCACTAGTCGGTCATATTAACTCCTGTGGTGGCCTTGAGCTAATTAAGGAAGGTGTAAGTGGTAAATGGTAAATTAACAATTTAAAGGTAAATTGGACGGTTCCAACCACCCAAATGGACTCCAAGGGTGTCTTGGGGTATATGGGAAGCACCCCCAACATGTTCTTTTCACAGGTGCCAAAAAGTCAAAAATTGTCTAAAAACGGAAGGTTATAATCCACGTTTTTGGGCCAATTTTGGTAAATTTTTCCAAAATTTGAAGTGAATGCATGGGGTGCCCCCCGAGGTCATATAAGTTGGTTTGGAACCATACATTGGGGATTTGTGATATTAGGCAAGTCGTTTGCCTTTTGAATGAAAGGGTTTTTAGAAACAACCGCTTTATAAAATTTTTATCGTAAGGGATGCATTTCGGGGTCATATAATAATATTAGTTAGAACCATATGTGATCATTAGTTGGTCATATAAAGTCCTCTGGCGGCCTTGAGTTAATTAAGGAGGTTTATGTTGAAAATGGTAAAGTGACATTTTAAAGGTAATGTGGACAGTTCCAACCACCCTAATGGACTCCCAGGGTTCGGAAGTTACTCGACATGTTTTTTTTTTTCCGGGTGCCAAAAAGTCAATAATTGTCTAATAAATGAAGGCTATAATCCACGGTTTTGGGCCAATTTTGGTAAAATTTTTCAAAATTGATGTGAATGCATAAGGTGTCCCCATAGGTCATATGAGTTGGTTTGGAGCCATAGATTGGGGAATTGTGATACAATAGGCAAGTCGTTTTCCTTTTAAATTAAAGGGTCTTTTAGAAATAGCCTTTTTATAAATTTATATAGTAGGGGATACATTTCGAGGTCATATAATAATATTTGTTAGAACTATATATGACCTTTAGTCAGTCATATAAAGTCCTATGGTGGCCTTAAGTTAATTAAGGAGAGCATAAGTTGTAAATAGTAAATTGATAGTATAAAGGCAAAGTGGACGGTTCCAAACCACCCAAATGGACTCCCAGGGTGTATGAGGGCGCCAAAAGGTCTAAAATTGTCTAAAAAATGAAGGCTATAATCCACGCTTTTGGGCCAATTTTGGTATTTTTTTTTTCAAAATTAAAGTAAATGCATGATTGCATGGGGTGTCTCTTGAGGTCATATAAGTTTGTTTGAAACCATACACTGAGGAATTATGATACAATAGGCAAGTCGTTTGCCTTTTGAATTAAAGGGTCTTTTAGAAACAACCTCTTTATAAATTTTTATTGTACGGGATGCATTTTGGAGTCATATAATAATATTGGTTAGAACCATATTTGAGCACATATAAAGTCCTGTGGTGGCCTTAGAGTTAATTAAGGAGGGTGTAAGTTGTAAATGGTAAATTGTTAGTTTAAAGCTATGTTACATGGACTCGGGTATCCATGTCCGACACGGGTATGTATCTTAGTGTCTGAGTACGAGCACATATAAAGTATCATATAAAGTACCCATGTCCGTGTGTCGAGGGTCCAACATGGGTACCTGAGGTGAAATGAAGAGTCCATATAACATAGGTTTAAAGGCATAGTGGACGTTTTAACCACCCAAATGGACTCTACAGGATGTATGGGATATGGGATGCAGCAACATGTTTTTTTTTTCCGGATGCCGGTAGTAAAAAGTTGTCTTATAATTGACAACTATCCACGCTTTCGGACCAATTTTGGTAATTTTTTCCAAGCAATTGAAATAAATGCATGTGGTATCTCCTTATATCATATAAGTTGGTTTGGAACCATACATTGGGGAATTGTGATACAATAGGCAAGTCATTTGTCTTTTAAAACAAAGGTGACAATTTTTCTTAAGGGGGCCAAATTACCTTAATATTATTAATTATACAAATACCATATAGGAAAAATTGGCCGTAACAACACCAACTATGACGAAGGTGTGTGTAGCAGCACAATAAACCTTTCGAGGGTGCACTCAACATCACAAATTATGCACTTGTGTGCACATAACAACATAAATTACATTGGCAAAACTTAGATTTCTTCAAAAAGTGGAATCTTAAATATTTTTAATGCTTTTTTATTTATATACTTCCTCCGTTTCTTTTTAGTTGACACGTTACTTTAGTCATGTTTGCCAATGAATAACTTCAACCATTTATATCTCTAATTACCGATAATAAAAAAAATTATGAAAATTTGATATTTTGAAAATATATATCGAGAGAAATCTAACAAGATCACACATGACTATATTTTTCATTATGTATAAACCACAAAACATGGTCAAAGGGAAGTGTGTGAATAGTGCTAAAGTCTAAACGTGTCAACTAAAAAAAACAGAGGAAGTATATTTTGTTTAATTCCATTCTACTTAATTTTCCATCTCACGTAACTAAGTAGTCTTCTCTTCCACTTATTGTTTTACTTTAAACACTGTTCAATTTCCACCATTAAAATGAATTATTTCAAAAAGTTTTTGCCATTATTTTCTAACGTTTGTTTTTTCAATTACTTTTTTTTACATCTCATGTGATTGAAGACTTAGTTTCATCTTCCATTATAATTAAGTTTTTCCCTTTAAATTATTCTCTCTCAACCTCCACAATTAAAGTGTGATACATTAAAAACCAGAAAATCAATTTGGCATATCCTAAAATCCAATTCTAAAATTGTTGTTTGAATTAAGTATTTTGAATCATTTTGTGGGGCTTAGTGTTCAAAAGTTACTTATGTATTCTGAAATCTTGTAGAATAAAGGTTTTCGAATGATTTTTATTTATTTATCAATTTAGTATTTGACTAAGTGGAGAGAGAAAGGAAACTAAGTCAATCATGTAACATCGATATTAGAAAAAAGTAATTGAAGAAGCGAACGAAGGAAAATAATAGCACAATTTTTTTTTTAAGGAATCCGCTTAAATGGTGGAGGTTAAGAAATGCTTAAATGAAAAAAATAGGAGGGAAGACTAATTTAGTCATGCATGATGGAAAATCATGTAAGTTTAAAAAATGTTTAAACAATTATAAAATAGTAAAGATTCCACTTTTTTCCATGGAACCTTAGTTCATTAGTGTCATTTATGCTAATATACCGCACCCTTAAAAGGTTGTGATGCTACATGCACCTTTATCATAATTGGTGTTGTTGCGGCCAATTTTTCCATATATATATAGTAAAGTATATTATTACCTTAATATTATTAATTATTGTACAAATACCATAAAAATAAAATAATCATTGATATAGTTATATTTCAACAAGTAATTAACCTTTGACATTACTTCCATAACTCATAACTTCAAAGGGTGGAAAAAGGTATTATTTATTATGACTAATAAATAAAAATCAAATAATAGCTAAGTTCAATAGCTAAGACTCAAGTCTGGCACAACAAAAAAATTGAAGAAGAAATAATAATTCAAGGCATTTGGATAGAAATAATCCATAGAATAACAAAAAGAGATAACTAAAAGGGTAATATTGTAATTTTGTGTAGTTCAATTTGCAGCTAGTAGTGAATTCACGTGTGTTTAATTTGCTTTGGGATTTGTGCAAAATTAAGATAAAGTGAATAAGTCATATAATATGACATATACTCCTAGTAAGCTTGGTAGTTGGTACCAAATTCTTTAGGTTTTTTTTTGGGGGCTTTTTACTAAACATTAAATATGGTAACAGATTTGGGCCAAATTTTGAGGGGGGAGGGGGGCGGGGGGGGGGGGGGGGGGGGAAGCCCTTGTCCGCCCCTTCAAAGGTCCGCGGTGGCCTTGAGTTAATTAAAGAGGGTCTAAGTTGGAAATGGTAAATTGACGGTTTAAAGGCAAAGTGGACATTTCCAACTACCACAATGGACTTCCAAGATGTCTTTTGGTGCCAAAAAGTCAAACATTGTAAAAAAAAGTAAAGGCTATAATCTACAGTTTGGGCTAATTTTGGAAAAAAATTCCAAAATTTAAGTGAATGCATGGGGTGTCCCCCAAGGTCATATACGTTGGTTTGGAACCATACGTTGGCGATTTTTGATACAATGGAGCAAGTCGTTTGCCTTTTAAATTAAAGGGTCCATTAGAAACATTCTCTTTATAAATTTTTATACTAGGGGGTGCATTTTGGGGTGGCCTTGAGCTAATTAAGGAGGGTGTAATACTAGTTAGAACCATATATGACCATTAGCCGGTCATATAAAGTCATGTGGTTGCCTTGAGTTAATTAAGGAGGGTTTAAGTTGAAAATGGTAAATTGACAATTTAAAGGTATAGTGAATGTTTCTAACAACCCAAATGGATTGCTAGGATGTCTTAGGTGTATGGGAATCACCCCGATTTGTTTATTTCCTAGATGCAAAAAAAGTCAAAACCTGTTTGAAAATGAAAGCTATTAGCCTATTATCCACGCTTTTGGGCCACTTTTGGAATTTTTTTCCAAAATTGAAATGAATGCATAGGGTGTCTCCTAAGGTCATATAAGTTGTTGTGGAACCATACATTAGGGAATTGTAATACAATAGGCAAGTCGTTTGCCTTTCGAATTAAAGGGTCTTTTAGAAACAACCTCTTTAAGGGGGCGTTTGGTTCACAAAGTGGTATGAGTTTGGAATTAGGAATGAAATTAGGGTGGTATGGGGTTGGAACTTGATTCTTAATACATTGTGTTTGGTTGTTGTTCAAGAATGAGTTTTTTATTTTTATTTGATACCTAAATGTGTGGTATGAGCCATACCCACCTCCCCCCTTGGGTTTCTAAACCCCATACCTTGCGGGTTTGAGGTATGGGTTTAAAATTAGATTTTTCTTAAACAAACATTAGGTATGGGTTTTACTCATTCCAATCCCATACCTCATACCTAAATTCTAGGAACCAAACGCCCCCTTAAGTTTTTATAGTAGGGGATGCATTTCGGGGTCATATAATATAATTATATTGGTTTGAACCATATATGACCACTAGTCGGTCACGTGGTGGCCTTGAGTTAATTAAGGAGCGTGTAATATTGGTTAGAACCATATATGACCATTAGTCGGTCAAATAAAGTCCTGCGGTGGCCTTGAGATAATTAAAGAGGATGTAAGTTTTAAATGGTAAATTGACAGTTTAAAGGCAAAGTAGACGATTCCAATCACCCTAATGGACTCCCAGGGTGTATGGGAAGCTCCGCGACATGTTTTTTTCCCACGGAGCCAAAAGGCCAAAAATTGTCTAAAAAATAAAGGCTATAATCCAGTTCTTTAGGCTAATTTTGGTAAAAATTTTCAAAATTGAAGTGAATGCATGGGGTGTCCCTCGGGGTCATATGAGTTGGTTTGGAACCATACATTGGGGAATTGTGATACAATAAAGGGTCTTTTAGATATCTCTTTATAAATTTTTATGGTAAGGGATGCATTTTAGGTCATATTATAATATTGGTTAAAACCATATATAACCAGTAGTGGGTCATATAAAGTGTTGTGGTGGCCTTGAATTAATTAAGGAGGGTGTAAGTTGTAAATGGTAAATTGTTAGGTTAAAGACAAAGTGAACGGTTCCAACTACCCAAATGGATTCATAGTGTGTTTTGGGGGGTGTATGGAAAGCACCCCGACATGTTTTCTCATAGGTGCCAAAAAGTCTAAAATTCTTTAAAAAATGAAGGCTATAATCCACGCTTTTAGGCCAATTTTGGTAATTTTTTCCAAAATTGAAGTGAATGCATGGGGTGTCCCCGGAGGTCATATAAGTTGGTTTGGAACCATAGATTGGGGAATTTTGATACAATAGGCAATTTCTTTCCTTTTGAATTAAAGGGTCTTTTAGAAACAGCCTTTTCATAAATTTTTGTAGTACTGATGTTGTTTTGCTAGAGAAGAAAGTACTTGATACTTTGATAGTAAACACTTCATAAATTTCTGTTCAGAATTTGTAAATGTCTTACCATTTTATGTATTCTGGTTTTCTATTTGTAACTAAGAAGAATATTGGTTTTACTAGGTTTCACAGCTGATGGTTGGGGACTCTGGAGCTGCAGAAGGGGTTTGGCTACGCATTTTGACATACAAACTTTCTTTCTCAGCTAGGATTGGATCAGTACACTGACATATCTTTGTTACTCTAGGTATTGCTGGCTGATGGAACGGAGATTCATTCTTCTGTTGTTCTATCAAATGCAACTCCTTATAGAACTTTTGTGGTAAAGTTCCTGTGTGTGGAGGCATTTGTCTTATTTTGTGAATCGCAGAAAAGATTGTGTCCTTTAATCCCATATTTCTATAAAATAGATAAATCTTGGTGTATTTTGGAATTTCTTGTGAAAAGTTGTCTCATTGGATGCAGGAATTAATGCCAGATTATAAACTTCCTGATCAGTTTATTCGCACAATTAAAAATTGTGACTATAGCTCGGTAAGAATGATTCAAATTATCTAAATTAGTCTAAACATCATATTGTTTTTAGCATTTTATTACTTTTGTTACTGTTATTGAACGTTGATTAATGTGCTTGATATACTATTGGTCCTGTTTAGGCAAGAACTATAGACTTAATGGATTGGCCTTTTGTAGTCAATTTGAGCCAAATAGGAAGTGATTTGCCAGCTTGGGTAGTCTAAGTCTGCAGGATGTTTTTGTAGTCTTACTCTTGTTTTCTTGTCATTCTTGGATGTTTTGTCCTTAAGACATCTGCTTTCTGTGATTCTTTCAAATGGTAGCAACAGTGGTACTCGCTTGTTTGGTTGCTTAATTGCTTTGTAACCAAGGATGATTAATCTAACTAAGATTTTAGAGTGGGGAGGAGAGATCTAAAAAGACTTAGTGTAGTTGGTTTACCTCCAATTTTCAGATGCCCTTAATAGCGATGGACTTGTGTACTCTGATCTCTGCCTCATACAGTGTAGATTTTCTGTAGACTGTTGTGGAATTTGTAAAGGCTTATGTTTTGGATGCACTTCTTACTGATTTAGTCTTGCAATTGGTCGTAAGACTTGCGATGGAGATGAGCCCGAACTAAAAGCTTCTTTTGATGGAAATTGACCTTCTAGCCTTTAATTGTTAGCCACCTTTTGATGGAGATTGACCTTCTACTTCCACTCGATCTTTTCCTCTTCTATCAGTTATTGACATTGAAATCGATTTTTTTCCCCTCTTCTCAGTTATCTACGTTAGAAACTGATCTTTTTTCTCATATCATTGCGTCAATGGAGAAGACTAGGAGTTGAGAAAGGAAACTAAAATGGAAGTGAGGTCTTTATGGGTTTATACATTGCCTAAAGCCCACAGTGTCGAATTGTCGATGCAATACCTTTACTGAATTTATGTATTTGTAGGGTTGGAGATGCTTATTATTTGCTTTGGTGTAGTTCAGCATTGTCACCATACTAACATTCAATGCTTTTGGGGTCATTCTTGTACAGGGAACCACGAAAATTAATTTAGCAGTTGATAAGTTGCCCCAGTTTGATTGTTGCAGTAGCAAAATGAGCCACCTGGATTCTGGCCCTCAACATGTTGGTACTATTCACATTGGATCTGAGAGGTATGGCATCAAATAGGTGATGTGCAGAGATATGTTGTAAATTTAGCTTTTTGCCAATGCTACATAAACTGGTTGATCTCCTAAGTGGATAAGTATGGCTGGATGGCTGCATGTGACAGCAGAAGCTGATAAAATAGACTTATTACTTATCGAGTGCTTGTTTATTTTTATTTTATTTTTTAAATGGATAGCTTAATAGGATGTGCTTATTTTTGTTAACATGTTTAATAAGCAGCAGCTTTGTGATGATTGGCTAAAGGAAAGATATATGGATGTATGGGACTATGGCTAAATAAGTCAATAAGACCTGTTATTTTGGTTAATATCTGTGATCTATTGTAAATGTTAAAAATCCTACTTAGAATTTAAAACTGCAAATCCTGCTAACAGTTAAATAAAATATCTGCTATCACCTTTAAGGCAAAGGCACCGACAAATTCAGGAATTTCTAGTCATGGCGCTTTCATGGCCAAGAGAACCTTTGCCCCCTGGAATCTAGAGTGACATTTCGACTTGTGTGAAAACGAATAACCAAAAAGTGCAACACTGCAATAATGCTGCAAATCTATTAGAAATTAACCCTTGTAAACCTGGGAAATGTGGTTTGAATGTTTGAATTAATGGGGATGGAATCATTATATTAATATACTTTGTCACCGGTTTTGATGCTGCTTTCCAAAGCATGGAGGAGATTCACTCAGCCTGCCAAGATGCTTTGAATGGCTTGCCATCACGAAGACCAGTTATGGAAATGACTATTCCTTCTGTTTTAGACAAAACAATATCTCCTCCAGGTATTTTTATGTACTGTTTAATGTATGGTGTATAATAAGGTTGAGAAACCTTAAGCCGCCTTTGATAGTAAAAAACTCCCTTTTTTTTTGTGATATGTTCCTTAAATATTTTTTAACTCTCTTTGTATATGGTAGAATTGTTTTAGCTGATGGAATAAATTCTGATTAGAAAAGAATAAACCTTTTTGTGTTACATGGCAATACCAAAGTTGCTCGTGGTGATCTATTTACTCTAAATTGACACTATCAACAATGCAGTAAATTATGTTCTCAAAAGATGGTAAGTTCTAAGAAATGTCAAGTTTCATGGGAAGAAGGCTGTAAGTATGCTAAAATTTTGGAGTTGGAATTGACAGATTCGCTTAAAAAATTCAGACAAGGCTTCGATTTAATAATGGAAAAGTCTAATGCTTTAATCTGAACTAAATGCAGCACAACAGAAGTCCTCTACTCTATAGCTGACAATTTTCCTAATTATTGTTCCCTATTTTTTATGGTTTAAGTTAGCAAAATTTGTTGCATGTTTAACATACAACGAAGCATACCAAGCAAAATACTTATGGTTTTTTCACCACCTGTAATACTGAGATTGCTGTCTGCTTATCTTTTATAGGAAAACATGTAATCAACTTATTTATTCAATACACACCCTATCAACCATCAGATGGTAGTTGGCAGGACACTGCGTACAGGGTGAGGTTATTCTCAGTTTTATGCAAAGTCTGCTCAACATATGATACAAGTACTTCAGTTTATATGTTTTCATGCATATGGTTTTTGTGGTTCATGGTGTCCATTTACACATTTCTTGAAGATTATCTGCCCTTTTTGAGTTGACGAAGTTCTGTTGTCAAGGTCTTTAGTCATATGCTCCCACACACCTGATGTGCTCATCTTGTTGGTTTAATTTGCTTGTCAGAAAATGCCTCTATGATAACATCTACTAAATTAGCACTCAATCTTTTCTTTGTAAATGGTATGACGTATATGTGCAGGAGTCATTTGCAAACCGGTGTTTCTCCTTGATTGATGAGTATGCACCTGGCTTCAGTTCATCAGTTCTTGGATATGACATGCTTACTCCTCCAGACTTAGAGAGAGAAATTGGCTTAACAGGTGCTTGAGTTTATATCCAGTCATTATGTGTTTGTCCTGCTTCCCGTTTCTTAATCTCCATCTAGTTCTGCTGGATCTTGTATCATATCTTACCCCATAAACTTCAATACCGATAAGCATGTAAGCATTATTTTAATGATTTTTCAGGAGGGAATATCTTCCATGGAGCTATGGGATTAGATTCTCTCTTTCTTATGAGACCTGCAAAAGGATGGTAAATTCTGTTGGATTATTTTGTTTATAGAGATATTGTTTGCTTACTTCTGATTATTTCTCTCTTTCAACAGGTCAAATTACAGGACACCATTACAAGGGTTGTATCTGTGTGGAAGTGGAGTTCATCCGGGCGGAGGGGTTATGGGAGCACCTGGCCGTAACGCCGCGCAAATAGTTCTAAACGATTTTAAGAAATAAGATGGCCAGGTAGAATCACACTGAATTTATGATTAAACCTGTTTATATTCTCATTTTCCCATTCATGGCACCATTTCACCGTTGTACAAATGAGAATATTTTCATGTATTTTACATTTACCTTAAACTTTAGGAATGTAATTCATTTAAGTCCGTATAATTTACTCTCTTGCAATAGCTAATTCAAGCTCGTAGAAAAGTTTCTATACAATACAACCACAAAATAAAACAAGTTATAACACTATTAAGCACTTGTTAAACCACATCTCGAAGAGAGAGTCCACTGGCGAAGAGGCCACAAAACAAGATATCACTTTCAGTCAGGGTGGTGCGACATTAACGTTCTGTTAGAACTTGGACATTGAATAAAGTAGATTTGCTCAATCAAAAGCTCACACTTTCACCTCCGCCAGGTAGAAACTGACTTTGGGACAAAACTGTTGGTGGTAGAAGATGCTTCTAACCTGCATTGATGCAGCAGATTAGTTTACCTATATTTCATTTTTAAATAGATGAGCGATCTTTCTATTTTCCTTTATATAGGAGGTGTGGAAGCAAGGGGTGTGTGCAGCCTACCTTGATATTTCTTCAACAGCCCGGATAACTTCTGCAGAGTTAGTTTCTAATACCTGGCCTCCAAAAATAATCTCATCTATAATAGTATGAAGCTGCAAAGTCAAAGGTAAGAACATGAATCAGTGCGACGCTATAAGTATTTACAGGATGTCTTTTGCTATGCAGCCTAGTTTATGCTAATAATCAGAGAAACTCAAAAACAACATAAACAATATTCAACAATAGACTGCAAATTTACCATTACTTTGATTTGCTTTAATATGGAGTAAACAACTGATTTAAAGCAAAAGAATACATTGATGGAATTAAGGGTGCTAATCGAGTTGAGCAACTCGTGAGCAACTCGGACTCGATTCGGTCAAAACTCGGCCTCGAGTTGGCTCGACTCGACTCGAGATGTTAATGAGCACGAGTTGAGAAAGGTCTAACTCGACTCGATAAGATCGTGAGCAACTCGATAATATATTTTATTAATATAGAATTTACAAACAAAGTTATTACCATGAACAAATTTGACACTTAATAAGAGTTCATTTATATTATCCAAAAAGAAAGAGTAAATCTTTAATAATAAATAAAATAATTAAAAGAAAACTATAAAATGAACAAAAACAATAAAGGCCTATAATTTTAGAAGGGCCAAAACTTCAACGAGCAGATCGTGAGCTACTCAACTCGACTCGAAACTCTAACGAGCATGAGTCAAGCAGGTTTTATTGGCTCGAAACTTTAACGAGCACAAGTTGAGCACATGAAAAAAGTTTTCAAGTCGAGTTGAGCACCCCTTAGCTCGTGATCGACTCGCTCGATTAGCACCCCTAGACAGAATGATAGCAACAATTAAAAGTGTAAAAGAGATTGAATTATCTACAAACTGTAATTTGTGTATTACACAGATTAGTACTACCTTGCCATAATTGAACACTATGTCAAGCTCACAGACATTCTTGAAGCATTTGTCCAAAGTTTCAACAAAAACTGCAAGACAATACCAAGTTTCAATATAGCAAGTTAATTAAAAGAGAGACGTTGATAGAAAGAAAAATATGGAATGGCAAGGAAATTTCAATCAAAGTATTGGCTAGCAGCAAGCATGCACAGAAATCTTACCGCATGACAAAAATATTAAAACATAGCTCCAAGGAAAGTTTAAAATGAAAAAAGGGATCAAGATTCAAGGGGAATGAAGGGTTTTTTTCTGTTTTTTTTTTTGTCACTGGTGAGGGAAAATTGTACCTTGTATTAAATCTAGCATGGCTAGTTCATTTTCAGCACTGTCATACACAAATACAAAGTAAAGGGTTGCATAATGCTTGTACACAAGTCGAGAATCCTGCAAATGAGAAAGCATCAAATTAGGATAACTAATGGAGTAATAATGTTATGTGCAATGCATCAAGCACAAATTAGATAGTTCAAGACAATAAAAGGAATGTATATGGTTTAGGTAAATTACAGATAGGGGGAGGGGGGGTAGATAACACACGTGTTCACAAAAAATGTCTGGAGTTTATAGATTTGAGGAGTCCAGGAGAAGGATAATGCAAATTTTGCAAGGAATTATAGCATGTGGCAGTCTTATTTCCATGGGACCCAAATTACAAAGTGTGCAGGCAGTTGAAGTCTTTGATTGGGTGTATACAAGCTAGTAGATAACGGTTGGCAAAACACAATGCAGCTCTGAAGATAAAAGGTTATACTCTCTGTTTCCTAAAGAAGTAGAGTGGTGACATCAAAGTTATAGCCGTATATGTTGGTGAGCTTTCTGTGTGAAGCTTATAAAAGATCTAGGCCATCTTCTTCTGGTTTCATTATCACTCAAAATATATATTCCGAAGAACTTTCTAAGAAGGGTGGGCTGAATAATTACTAATCTTGTGGCCACGGGGGGGAATTTCTGATCCGCATTATTATTAAGTATGGTGAGCAAAATGGAATTCCTGTCAAACACCAACTATCCTTAGCCTCCTTACTGAAATTAAACTCTCAAAGTCTCAAGTCAATACATGCTCTCCTACAGAACAATATCTGCAAGCTAAACATCAAGTTCTTGGATGTATTACAGGCACCATCGTTCAAGACATTCTGCTTAATGGCTTAAATGAATTAACTCTGCAAGCATACAATGATTTCGACTGGGCTAAAGTATTCACAGATACCAATTAGATATGTTGGATAAATCTCCAATCAATTGGAAATTCAATAAAAGTAGTATATAAAACAACTACTATTTCATAGTCCTTACTAGTCTTTAGATCAGAGGTTGTTATAGAGAAGGGTCGCTTCAGAGATTGTATGGTTTGTTAATAATTGAAACCAGTCACAGTTCACTGAGGCAATCAATGAGCCTGGCACACAGCCAAATCCCTGCACATTTACATTGGCTCCATTTTACATGACCTTCATTCAGCTGATATATCTTCCTATAAAGTCTGTCTAAAATGATGCTTTCATCCATCATGCTAGGATTGTCTTTTGTATCCTTCAGCTTGAGAAAGGTGTTGATGAATACAGCGTAAGCAACACAAGCTTCACACAACATTACAACAGATTCAACTCAGCCTTGACGGTACATCAGCAAGGGTTAATATTTAGGAGAAGTCGAAATTTGTTATGGCAACAGCACGATCTAATGATCTATAATGCAAATTGAAAGGTAACTCCTGACTCGTTACTGTGCTAAGATTATTATCTAACTTATTAAGCAATGTTGCTTTCTTATAGTCTATCAATAGTATGTTAGTATTAGACTTGATCTATTTCTCTCTATATATTGCATACATCCGTAGCACTAGAGCTCAAGCGTAGTCAGCAGAGATAAATTAGCAAATTCTACAAATTATTCTTATAAGAACTGTCCGCAAGAGTCGAAAACAGAAACCGCTACTCCGAAAAAAGAAGCTCTTGCAAATACATACGATGTTAACAAAAAGTCAGCAGTATACAATCATTAATTTAGGTCAATTAATTCAGAAACATAGGTTTAATAGTAAAATCCATAAATTAAGGCTGGAGAGATCAAATTTAACTACAGAAATGACAACGAAGAAATTAACGCTAAATTAAACATCAAAGATGAACAGCAGAACATCAAAGATCAAGAAATTTGCAAATAAATTAATGCAAAATTGAAGCAGCGGAGATAATTAAATACATACCGGACCAAAAATGGAATCAACATTGACGAAGTTGCTGACATTATCAGGCCTGTTGCATAATACTACATCAAATAATTACCAGATATTACAAATTCGTCGATTTCAAAGTAAAAACTATTATAATTGATTATGAAAATGAGAGAAATTGGAGAGAGAAGAGAACCTGAGTAGAGAGTACGAATCAGCTCCTGCTGTTTATCTGAAGGCTTTGAGGGAAAAAATGGCAAAATAAAAATGCAGATTTTATAAATTTGATGATATAATCAATTTGATTTCTGTGGAAAATCAATGATGCTAAGCAGATGATTAAGGAAGATGGAAAAATACCTTAGAATCGTAGAATTTTGTGAGGCGAGGTTTCCCCTGAGTGTTCATCACTATCACCGCCTTTATCATTTTTTGATTTCAAAGGGAAACTACAAATTATGATTCGACTTGATCTACGTCTTCTCTAAACTCCGCTCTTACCTGTATATTATACATTTATACGAGCAATTTGTATTTAGTACCCCTACACGTTCATTGTTGAGCGAGATACAATTTATAGGGTTGATTTTTGTTTGCTTATTGGGCTTGTCTAGCAATTAAGATTTGGTTCACTTGGTAACACTTCAAACATAGGTGACTCTTATATCGACACTAAGTCAGTAATTGATATATTTGAGTATCAGGAAGTCTAATGATACAAATGAAGTTAAAATTTTAATTGAGTAACCAATACAATTAAAATGTATTCATACTTAAACATTGTTCCCTTATTCCGTAATAATCGTAATAACATAATCAGATATTGCTTGTGTTCAAAATGAGCGTCAACCACTTTTAATTTAGATAACCTCGACATATAGCCACATAGGTTAATTTATATTGGTAGAGTACTAGAACTTAACCACCCAGAATTAATCCCCGAATTCGAATTAGCCTAAAAGATAAATCGGGTGAAACACCAAAAAACACATAGGTACATAGGTTGATTTACTTTTAGGTCTTTTGACATCTAATCTAATCTACGGGTAAGAAGGTTGATCAAATGAGCCAAAATTGGTACCCGGCCCTTTGGTAATGGGCTGGACCAAAAATGTGGGTTAAAATAGAGAGCAAAAATAGAGCGTATTGAATAAAAACGGTGCGTTTAATATTGTCGTCGTCAATTGAAGGGGTTTTTCTCTTAGAGGTTCTTCTCTTTCCCTCTTCTCCTGCATATCATCGATTTCATTTGTTTGAAGTTGCAAATTCATCATATTATTTAAACCCTACATATTTTTATTTGATCAGATTAAGATTAAGTGAGAAATCATGAAGTGGAACAATGTAACGAAGCCATTCAAGAAGCTATTAACATCCAATGGAGGATCTACAGCTGGTAATTTACTTCCCATTTCCATTGATTTATGCGGGTTTTACATTTTCGATTTTGATTCAATAAACTTATTTATTGTCTTGTATAATTGACTAAATGTTAGTTTCATGTTATAATGATTTGGGTTTTTCTTATAAGAAAAAAATAAAATGCTGAATTTTTTGTTTAATGAACTTACTGTAGTATTAATCCTCCTCAGTACGGTTATCTTCCCTCAATTTACACTCTTGAAAAAAAATTAATGAAATGATTAGGAAATTTAAGCTAATGTTGCAAGTTTGTTTGCTAATTTGTTTGATTAATGATTGGCTGTTATTTGGGCTGGTGAGGTTATGTTGAAATTTATTGTGGGTATTTTGATTTAATAAGGGCGTAATTCTGCGGGGCGTATTACAATTTACCATCGAGGGGGTGGGGCGAAGCGATTGCAGCGAAAAATCGATTTGAAGAGGGGTACTTCTTCAATGGGTGTGGTAGAGCGGATTGAGTATGATCCTAATCGCTCCTCTAGGCTTGCTTTAGTGAGATGGATTGAGGGGGTCCATCCAGCCAATCAAAGGAATGGTGATAAAGACTTCACTCCTCCGAAAAAGGTTATTGAACCTATCACAACAACGGTAGCTGGTCAGTTTCCGTTAGCGTGCCTGGCTCCTGGACTGTTACGCGGTAATGGAGGCAATAAGGAGGATGGGAGGAAAATAAGTAGTGTGAAGGATGTGTTTGTTTCTGCCTTTGCATCTACGCGTGCAAAGGGAGAGTCTCTAACTAATATCCCACGAGCAGCTGTAGCCGGGGCAAAGCCAGCTGTCTTTTCTCGTAAGATGGGAGAGGCAGTTGGTGAAGGTGAGAAGGAGTTTTCAGTTTTTGATGTCCAAAGGTGGAGGAAAGACAGTAGTCTTTGGGATCATAAGCTCAAGCGTAAAGCAGCTGTACCTTGGTTGAGTTTTGTCAATGAGGAGCCTGTGGGGCTTGCCAAAGCAGCTCAGAATGATAATTCTTCTGGGAAGTCGTCCAAGAATGTGCACATGGTTGATCGTGCACCACTCACATATATATTAGCAAGTGACAAACTGGAAGAAGGGAAGATTGTGATGAACTATGATTGGTCCACGCGTCTTAACCGCAGCTGAAGTTTCCAAAAATTCGTAAGTTCAGCTTATGCTCAAGTGCTTTTGTTGAATTTTGTGGGAGTTTGTTTGCTCTTTTTTTGTTTTAGCTTTTAGTTGTTACTTCTCTATGATCTTTGTGCCCCCTAGCTTGAAGCTGTTTTTTATGGGGTTTCTTTGCTCATTGATGCGTTCAGTTTGTTGCTTAGGGATTGTGAATTACTGAATTTGATGCTGGCGTTGCACCATAGATAATTTTGATTTTGTAGACATATTTTAGGGGGGATAGCCCAGTATATTTCTCTAGATTCAGCTAGGTTCAAAATGAGCTGTGATAATTTGTCTATCAGAGAACTCCATCTTGTTGCAGTTTCTGTTTCTTGTTGGATTGTAAATTTCTTGGTTGCATAATAGTAATAACAGTAGTTATTTCGGTATTGTAGTTGCACTAGTAGGAGGCAATTATTATCTTAGCAGCTTAGCAAGATGGAACTTTTATTGAGTTTTCCTTAAATCTAGTGCCCAAGAGATATGGGGCTTTAATAGGTATAGAGAGTATTGTGCTGAATGCAATGATTCTGTTAAATTATTTTGTGTTGCTGTCAGCTGTAATGCCTAAAGAAGTTCTCACCTTGGCCAGCATAAAGATGGGTTGATGTTCGTAGCCTTACCCCTTGGGATATCATTTTTTTACTGCATTTTATAGTGGCAACCCCAAAAATTAAGGAGCATATAACACCACTCTGACTGGTATTCTGATTCACTCCTGGAATCCTTTATTATTGTTAAAGGCGCTCAGAAATTTCAGGTGTTGATTGAAAACCTGCAATTACGGGATGTCGTCTTTGCCTTTAGACATGATGATTAAGGATTGAACAATGCATGAATGAGGTGGTTCAGGCCACTAAGTAGGACTCTCAAGGACCTTTGGGAACCCCAGGAATTACTTAGATGCATAATCTTGCCGGGTGAAAAAATTATCTACTGAAGCCAAATTTGAAGGCTATAATACACGAAAGCAGAGCAATTTAGGAGGTTTCGGGACCCGATGTAAAAAATTCACAGAATAATATGGGATGCATCCCTAGGTCATATAATGTTGTTTAGGCCCATAGACGACCATTAGTCGGATACATAAAGGCCCCAAGGAAACCTATAGCCAATATTAGAGGTGTGTGCCACAACAGCCATATTGATTGTTTTAAGGCAAAGCGGACGATTCCAACCACTTAAATGGCCTCCCGGGGTGTTGTGGGGTTAATGGGAAACACCTTGACCTCTTTCGGAGGTTTCGGGACCCAGTGTCGAAAAACCTTGAGATACTAGGGGAAACATTCTGGATATGTTGTTTAGAACCATGTATGATCATTATATGTTGCCATAAATGTTAATGGTGGGCTTGAGTTAATGAAATAAGCGTAAGTTGTAAACGGGTAACTTTACAGTTCAAAGGCAAATTGGATAATTCTACACACTCAAATGGACTCCCGGAGTGTATTTGGGTTTATGGGAATCATCTCGGCAATTTTTTTTTACGAGTCTAAAAAAGTCCAAAATTGTCCAAAATGGAAGGCTATAATCCACGATTTCGGCCAATTTTGGAAAATTTTCCAAAAATGAATGGAATGTGTGGGGTGATCTTCAGGGTCATACAGTTGTTTAGAATGTTTAATTGTGGGTGCCCAGCCCATCGTGCCAAATGCCTAAGCACCAGCCTGTTTGTAGTCAGGTAGAGGATCAACAAGCCCTAAATCTGAAGTAACTCAACTTTAGGTATGGAACAAAACATTAGCGGATAGTATATGCAATACTCAGTATCAAATAGCATGCTTATAGTTCAATTATACTTTGGAATAAAGACACCATTTAATATAGAGTCCATATAAGTCAAACAATACCCTTAAAGCAATTGTGATCTTTGCATTGGTGTTTGTATGGGTGTGCATGTGTGTCTGTATGTACTCATTTTTAAGACCTAACATCATTAAGTTTAGACACGGTCATTTGATGGTTTCAGTTTAGCCTTAAAAGCCCACATTAAATCCTTTTCATTCCTTTTAAGGATTTTCTTCCCCTGCTGTTTTAGTATATAGACTATATACCATTTGGATTTGATTAGAGATCTAAGAAATGACATCTTACCATTACAGGTACAAGAAGGTGGAATGAATAAGTGGTTCAGAGATGGAAAAGCATGGAGTTTAAGGTGATGTAGGTGTCGCAATCAGCTTTCATGAGGCCAAAACTTATACAATACCATCATGCTACCGCTGAACGTGGATGCTGTCTGACTATGTTCAGATTTTTGTATTATGAATACCAATTAGACCTAAAGTATTGCAACTTGTTATTTTAAGTAGCACACTTTCCTTGTTCAACTTGCCGCCTCAGGAATTTTTGTATTGTTTTGTCACATGTAATGGGTTTACATTCCGGAGGCATTTGATGTGTGTTAATAGTGATTACTGATTAATAATAGTCATCACTCATTAGGCTCCAATATACTGTTGTGATGTGATTCTTATTTTTGGAAAGTTACAAGGCTTTGCTTACTTCCAGCTTGAACAACTCAATCAGAATGCATGGTGGTGTATAGATAGGGGATGCCTATCCAGAGTAGAAAGGGTATTTTTGCTTAAACGTCCGCATCCATCCTTCAGACTCTCACCTTACCGGCTTACCCAAGTGGCCTTCCAAAGTATCATGGGGTCCATGGAAAACACATTGTTTACTATTCTTAATGATATCAAATATGTTGACCGAAGGTTAAATTGAAGGTTGTAATACATGAAATTTGACCGTTTTCAAAAATTTTCTAGAATCTATTTTAAAAATTCAATTAATGGCTGGAGAATGCATCCCAAGATCATGAAAGGCTTAATCTATAGCTTTGAGGCAAAGTGCAAGCACCTCTGTGGGCTTAATTTGTACCTTAAATTTGATACTACTTCGTACTTAAGTGGAGTAATTAAAATGATATGAAGTAGTAAAAAATAAATCTTTTTTTTAAGACAAATATTCTTGTTAGTATGTTGTAACTAGTTTGAGACAAAAGGATAAGATAAGAAAAAATTTGCACACTAATTACGACCATAATCGTCCCAATATCAACCGCTGATCAATTCCTTATTTAATTAATTTTGGAAGCTTTCATTCCATAAACAGAAAAGGAAGGGAAGAAGAGGCAACCCTAGATGAGCTATGTACTACAACTACTATTTGAGGAAAATCTACTCATTTCACTATTTTTCAGACAATGACACTCACTACAAACTGAAGGCGGCTACAATTCCTCTTTTATGTAGCTCTAATGTCAACTTCTGAAACTCAAACCCAACTTAGTTCTGATGAAGAAACTCACCCTCTCAAATCTCTCCTTTCTCCTCCTACCATTCCCACCGACACCAGTGGCCCACATTTCCGGCGACACCGCCTCAGCTCCCTCAACACCGACGTCGTTAGCCGACAGCTTCCCTCGGAGGGATTATCCTTCCAGCTATGGCCTGCTGCCACCGCTCTTTTTTCTCTCCTCGACACACACCGCCTTCATTCCTACCTCCCCTCCCACCTTAACCGCCGCCTCCGTGTCCTCGAGCTTGGCTCGGGGACTGGCCTTGTTGGAATAACCGCGGCTGCAATCCTTGGTGCTCACGTGACCGTCACGGACCTCCCTCACGTGATCCCCAATCTCGAGTTCAACGTGCTGGCCAATGCCGAGATTATCTCGGCCAATGGCGGGGCTGTGGTTGCCACTCAGCTTAGCTGGGGGAATGTGGAGCAAATGGAGGTGGTTGGTAAGGAGTATGATGTTATCCTGGGGTCTGATGTCGTGTATCATGATCATCTTTACGAGTCGCTTTTGGATACGTTGAAGTACTTAATGGTAGGAGGAGAAAGAGAGGTGGTGTTTTTGATGGCGCACCTTAAGAGGTGGAAGAAAGAGTCTGCATTCTTCAGGAAGGCTAGGAAGTTTTTTGCAGTGGATGTGATTCACCGCGACAGTCCCTCTGATGGGAAGAGGGTTGGTGTTATCGTGTACCGCTTCGTAGCCAAGCAACGCCCTTGCAATTCAGAGGCTAATGTTTCCAAGAAAATTTTGGAAAATGATGTTTAAAAGTTGGGTTTCATTTTGTTGATTTTTTATGAAGCATGAAATAGCAACTAAGAAATTCTCAGGTATAATTAATCCAAAAAAATGTAACAAATTTCATGGAAAAAATACATCTACAGTGTTAGACCAAAATGTGCATGATTCTTTTAAATCAAGTGTTTTAAGTTAAAACATGTATTCCATGATATACATTAGTTACAACAAAATCATGTAAACAATAGCAGAATCAAAGAGATTCCCAATCGATGAATTACTTGCAGCACAACACTCACCATCTACATATAACCAGCAAAACAAAATTAACAACCAACTGAATACTTCTTCATGCATTCGTTGTTGAAGACACCACATGTTCTTGATGATGGGTTTTTTTCACTACCACAAATTGAGCTCAAATGACTCCAGATGATGTTCCTGTCCTCAAACCAGGTTATTGTTATAGCTGGAGAATGCTGCTGAGTTAACAGCATGGGCTCTACCTCGCAAAAAATGGCAACCATGGAGGGATATAGGAAAGGAAACAACAGCACTAGAGCATGAGAGGCAATAGCTTGAGCAGAGAGCCGGTAGTGCACGAAAAACATTATATTTGAACTCTACTGTGATCTTTTTCTTGATTGGGAACCTTTCACAGCCTTCATGCTCTGTGAGTCCCTAAAGCAAACAAAGTGGACTAGTGTTGTTCCATTTGGATAGACAGCAAACACGCTTGTTCCTATCTTCTTGTTGCAGAGGGAACACATGCTATCACCTGTAACCTTTACAACAGCTTTCCTCTTATCATAGAGTTCCTCTTTAACCTGCATTCAATTCATAAACCAACCCCATATTACCCAAAAAAACGTTCTCTTAATTACATTCATCTATATGAACTTATTTGAATTTTAATTAATCTCTGAACATTTCTAAACTTAACAAGACTTATTTCGGTAGTTTTTTTGAGCTTGGTGGCACTTATCTAATACTTTAAGGTAAAAAAAGAACAAAAGTGTGACTATTTGTACAAGAGAAATGCATACCTGGAGATTCTCACTCTCTCTAAGTCTCCTAATCACTGCAAAATTCCTGTGTGTTTCGCTAGATTTTCTCAAGAGTGGTCCAAGAAAAGAAAGCAAATTCTGAACAAACAAATGTAATGAAGTACATCAAGAAACAGAAAATTGAAGTTCACAGCAACATCATGTAAGCACATATAAGAATAGATGTTTGAACTTCTAAACTATGTTACATGGACTCTTCATTTCACCTCAAGTACCCATGTCGGACCCTTGACACTCGAACATGGGTATGACACTTGGACACTTCACTTTTAGTTCCAAAATCATGGAACTTTTTCACAAAAATAGCCTAGTCGGACACTTGGACACGTACTCATGTCGGACATAGGTACCCGAGTCCATGTAACATAGCTTCTAAAACTTCAGAAAAAGAACATTCCACAAGAGACCTTAATAGGAAAAAAAAAAAAGGCAAATATTAAATCTAAGTAAATTAGATGTATGAACAGCGAGAATCAGTGTTAAATGTGTAGTGTAATTTAACATTGTAACATAAAAATTAAAGGTGAAGTGTAATTTAACAGTTGACAACCATCCAGCATTCCAGCGAGGCTTTCATTAGAACAACATTATATAAGGAATGAAATTTACCATTTCTATCCTCATAGTAACGCTGTGTATCCACATAACAGATATCAAGTAACCTAATAGGCATGCTTAGAATCACCTTTTTCAGAATTCCTAGCCTATTATGAAAGAAAGTAACATACCTTAAACTTAGTTTCTTTGGGTAACAACTTCAGGGCTTGTGCCCCATTGATTCTTTCCCATCTGCGGCTCAACAAATCAAGGGCCTCATCAAGCATTATATTGGACCCCCCTTCAGAGTTGGCTTCATCTGCATCACCATCACTCTTCCCACTATCCGTATTGCTGGGGCTAAAGCGCACATCTTCTGCACCCTCTATTTCAGCAATTTTTCTAGGAAGACGACCTTTGCTTCTAATTGAAGCAGAGGAATTATTTCTTTTGATTTCAGCATTAGGCGTCGAGACGAGATTGTTGATTCGTCTCTCAAAGTTTCTTGTTGTTCTTCTAGGATTTAAATAGATTTGCAGGAGAGTAAGATATATATTGCTCTGAGACCTTCCAGGAGGTTGATTAAGCTGAGACTCGTAGACTCGATCGCAATAAGAAAGAGCCAATTCAGGAACATGAAGCTACCCAGCAATTAGGGAAAAGAGAGAATAAAAAAGGGAAAATATAAACAATGAGAAATCACGTATATAGAAAGAACATGCAAGATACATAGATGAATGAACAACAGAAATTTCGTTTATCATGTATACCAGTACAGGGAAGAAAAAGGATACAGATATATCTTTTAACAGGATTGAGTGTAAAGCATACTTGTAGACAATCAACAAGTCAGTGGTGACAGCTAAGTATAGTTCAAGGCACTGTTCTCTTCGCCTTAAAATAGTAATATTCAGTAAAAATAATTTCAATAAAAATTATTAGTTTCAAAGAATAAATACAACAGCAAATTAATAGAAGTAAGTTTTAATCAGTAAAAATAATTTAAGTTCAGAAAAAATCAGGTAAAGAGAACAGGGCCTAAGCGTGTCTAGCAATGTAATGATAGGCTTCTGCCAAACTGAAAAGGACTACATCCAAAGTGACTTTTTTACTAAATTTATTATGCAGGAACACCTAAAAAAAGCTTGAAAAATTAACATTTTTATGCTGTGAGAGTAACTCGATTTTTGTCATATCATTACTAACTGAATTTGGACCCTTTAAGTAATGGGTAAAATTAACAGAAATTAATTATATAATTAGAACAGTCGAAATTTCTCAATCTTTTCTTGGACATATGATACATAATATAGACAGTTAGCAATACATGCCCCAAAATGGATTTAATGCTTGTCTGCCATTCGTGACAATAACCACCCACAAAAGTAAACGCAACCATGCCGTCTGCATCCCTACCCTGTGCCACCTCATAGAGAAAGAGGGAGGGGGGAGGAAAGAACCAGGCAATACCTTATGTACATAGAGAGAAAGGGCAAGTTCATGCTGATTCAGCTTCCCCAACAATATAGCCCTTTCTTCATACAAGGCATCAGCTGGAAGACGTTTTAAAAGACCTTCTGGGTTGTACCCTGAAATGTTCTCCAAAGCAGATAATAATTTCTTCCTTGTTGGAGAGTGAGCTGTCTCATCCCATTTCTGTTGTGAGCTCAGTTCTCTATACCAATCAAGAACCTCTGACAGATAGATTTGCACCTACATTTGCAGATATGTCAATACAGAGCAAACACGAATCACACTCGCACAAGATGAATATCTCACCATTTCATTCTGTAGATGACCAGAGACCCCATCTTCATTCATGGAAAGCATAAGTTCTAGATATCTAGCCTGCATATTTGGAGCATGCTGTTTCAAATAGGAATTCACCAAGTCTGCCGGAATATTTCCTGATAGAAAGAGCTCAATAGTCTGTGTTGGACAGCTTTCAAGAACAAGCATTGCAAATTCCAGCACAAGCATGGGGTCTGTCCCACAAAGAGGCTGCATAAAAAGAAGCTCTAATACAAATTCAATAACTGAGCTCTTGAAATCATAATTTATCTATAATAATAAAATATAGTTTAATTTTGCTAGAACCAGAATTGTACAAAACTTAGCATAAAAGTATCACCTTCAGGTAGTCAATGATCATTTCAGGAGTGAACTTCTGAATGAGCTCAGGTCGTGGGGGCTCTGACTTTGACTCTTCAATTAGTTGGAGCAAAAGCTTCAAAGCTTCACGGTGCATATCATTGCACTTGTATAATTCGAGCAATGCAGTATATTGACATGATTTGTGCAAGAACTCCTCAGATATCTTCAAATCACAGAAATTTACCCCTCTCAACAGTTCCACAGCAGCAGAAGACTGTCCTGTGAGAATAAGGGCTTGGAGAAGTGCAGTGTCCAGTATAGCAGCCCTCTCACGACCCCCTGAGCTAATGGGAACGCTGCCACGACCCTAAATTATCCAGATCAAATAAATCTGTCAATTGTACTGATCTAACAAACCAATTAGTTAGGAGTAAAAGTAAATATAACACTGCTCTTTGCGCCTCTCTTTTTTTTTTTTTTTTTGAAAGTGCACTGCTCTTTGTGTATATTTAAAATAACCTTGTAGATTATGATTGCCATTAGATGCAATTTAAGGTGACAGAGAAATTCCCCACATGAGATATGCGGTCTGCTTAACAAAGGTTAGTCAGCACAGTAAGTTACCTTATTTGACTTCTTTGACCTATTGGAGTCATAAGATTTGAAATTAGCACCAAAGGCGTCAGACACGGCCTCATCTGTTCCCTCTGCTGCAGCCTTTTCAATAATATTGAACCTTTTCTTCTGCAAGAACTTGATAAGTGCCATAAGAGTATTGTGGCTAACTATCTTGGACTCTACGGAAGCATTTTCCTCTAAGTCACTATGTGCTCTAGGTGAAGTTTCCATGTCATCAGATATGCCCGACGAACACCTCGAGAGATCTGAAGCATCCAAACCAAAATCTGTCACCTTTTGAGGCTCCGGAAGCACAGTCGACTTTGGAACAATAATTGATGGGTAAAGTGAAAGCACATATGTGATATCAACTTGTGAATCAACAAAATGCTCCATGGCCTCCTCATAGCTACCATTTTCAAACAAATGATGTGCATATCTGCATTAACGGGGAGCGATCATTAGAAAAGGGTAACGAAATCCAAAACATGTAATTTGAACATTAACAACAAAAACGATTGGCTAAATATTGGTCATGTTCCGTATCAGGCCCGTCATTAAAAAGGGACTATTCCTTAAACAACCCCTCCCTCTTAAAAAACACTCAGGAAAAGAATTAATGACTATTGGGCAATTATAGGAAGTTTTCTACTAGTAACCACTAACAAGCATCTGGCCCCAAAGGGGTCTTTCAAGGAAATTTAATAACCTTCAAAAAAAAGGTGAGCCAACAAGCCAACCCCTCGAGGCTCTTTCTGAGTTTAGAAAAACTCCCTAAACTCAGTAGGATCTATTAACCCTTGACCATAACGTCATTAAGTACCAGATTGTAGTCTTTGTATGGGTCAATAACCCTTGAATGAGTTGTATCTATGGTCATATACGGCCCCATGTGCAAGTCCGAGAGACCTAACCTGATTACTCATCAACCTTTCCTTCAGAACCCTAAAACTGTTCTAGGGCCATAATCTATATCCTCCAAATTGGGGGTCTTTCAGGGCATATCTAGAGCCCAAATGGCCAAAGGGAGTCAAGCAAACCTTTTGGAGATTGCTTAAGAGCACAAAAAGAAAACTGCCCTTCAATTTTTATTGAGACTTTCCAATTCCACCAATGTCTTCTATGGCCTTCCAAGACATAGCTGGGGGCATAATTAGGGGAAAACAAATCTTTGGTTTAGTGTCACAATCAATATTAAAATTTAAGAGCATAAATGAACTGTGCATGGAATACTATGTAGATATCAAATGAGTAAATAAGTAGCACACAAAATCATGATGAAATTTTTTACCTAATATGGATAGAACTCTCCTTTGCAGCTCTAAGACTTGAATCTTCTGGTGGAAGGAGTTTACACAAAGCTAAGGCCTCCTCAAAATTGCCAGATGCTGTTAATTGCACTATCTGCATTTGGAAAATTGTTCTCTTAGTCATCACTGCTAATTCAGTTACCAATCCTACTCCAAAATTGTTGAGCTAACATACATTGATTTTGAGATTCTTCTGTAGCTAGTAGCAAAAAAAGTACCATAAGGCTCCTTGGAAGGAGCAAGCTAAGCAACGACTAGAAGTCATAACTAATATTAAAGGATTCCGATCTCAAAATTGATGCAACATTATAGGATTCATAGCAGCGGTATGCAATTAAGTTACGAAGGAGTCGGAGACATAACCCATAATCATCTCATCCAACTATTATAGCTCCTTTAATTCAATGAATTTCTGTAGAAGACTGTTTTCTTGACTATTATTTAAAATAGTTATAGATTGTAAAGCCCTATGTGAAATCACAAGAGCAAAGTAGTAAGAAAGTTTATTAACTTATATAGGATCCCATTTTACACTCTGACCTTTTGCTTTATTGCCTTTTTAGCTTAAGCTATAAATGTTCAAACACCACTTTCCAGGACAGATTTCCCTGTTCATTGCTGTAAACATTGAAAAGAGCTTAAGGCCAAAATTCCAAACTACCCTTTGTTTTGTGTCTTCATTACAAAGAGCAAACTGACCAAATAGTCAACAGCAAAAATGATACTCTCGGGTTTGATATTGACCATTTGTAGCTGATTATATTCTTAAATGCTATCTAATATTCCACATATATGGTCAAAATATAGCCCATACCACTTCTGTCCTATATATACATTCAAAATTCAAGCACAGAGCAAATATGAACTAGTTATTCTAGAAATAGGTTGCTTGATTTATATATTAACTTGGTATAACAATATATGCAGCGAATTAAATAGCATGTGGGAAGATATATTGTATTTAGTGGTCAAAGCAGTAACTGCATCATTTCAAATCTCAGAGCAATTAAACAAAGCTCAGCGCTGGCAGAGCTTATAAGGAGGAGGAGCAAAGACATTTATCAAAATAAAGAAGTCGTTAGATAAGTTTACACAGGAGGGGATCATAAGGCATCCTATGTTAGCACACTAAAAATTAATTTAAAAAGAGGGGGGGGGGGGGACAGATAACATGGACTTGAAGGATCAAGCACTACCTGCGCACCCAAAGGAACTGGGAAGAGGCCATAGACAGATTTTTCTAGAGAAACAATAATCGCACTGTTGCTGCGTATGACATGCCGAACATTTCGCAAGCCAACAGTTTGTATTAATGGAAATGATTGTTGAAGAGACCTTATCTGTATTAACAATCAAATATAAGAAAATGGATGATTATTACAGCTTAATGAACGAGAGAGAATCTATGTTTCCTCTCTTGAGCTACAGCTTTACACTATTTAAATTGCAGCTTAGCTCACCTCAATATGCTTAGACAGGAGACCTATAGCATAAGGCTCGTGGATAACAATTTGACTGGGGGCCTCAGACCAACAAATCCTGCCTTCTTGACCAAGTTTCCCATTTTGGTCCACAAAAACCCCAATATTATCCTGCAGGTAAAATATGCAAGAGCCATATAAGCACCAAGTAATAGTTTGGTTGTTCCAAAGCAAAGTAATTGACACCTAAAGTGTATATTCCTCCATAATGTCAAAAACAGAAAAAATTAAAATAGTGATCATCTTCTAGAGGTCATGCTATAAAATGCCATAATTCTTTATGCCAACCATACTAACTTCCCAGTAGAACTTCCAGCATTTCATGATGTCAGAAATATAATCTGGATTTCAAGCTCGCTAATTGGGATCAAAAACATGGTTAAACATCATATCACATAATCAAATAAACAGAATTCATGATCCTTCTACACTGGAGAAGAGGGGGGGGTGTTTACCTTCCCAAGAAGAAATCCTCCAGAAGGAAGAGACACCACCAAAGGTGGGGAGATTCTCCCTGAAGAAAACACTTCAGACATTGCACCAGTAGTAGCATTGAGTATCATGTATTCCTTTCGAACACCAATGCATATATTTTCACCACACCAAGCCATTGACTTCACAGTATCTGAAACATTATAGTCTTTCACCTCGACAAACCCCCGACCTCCTACACAAATTGGGAGAGAGCTCAACAGCTTATATTAACAAATACTTACCACCATCACAGCCCTCAACAAAATGAAATTAAAATCAAAATAAGCCCTCCAGATTATAATTAGATAACAATAAGAAACATGAATAGTATTTAGATTGCTTGAAGACTAGCTGAAATTGAATGGGTAAAATTATGACATATAGAAGAGTATTACATAATCTAAAGTAATTAAAATATGATCAAGGGAGAAAAGTTTGCAGAACAAAATGAGTTAAAGAAAAAGGGGGGAAATGTGTATATATATGCAAATAAGTCAAGTCATGTCATGTCACCATCTCTCCCTCCACTCTGCCTATCCAATGCCATATTTTCCTTATCCCCCATAGACTTTCGTCATACAATTTTGAAAAAAAATATTTCATTGTGCACTGCAATTAATTAAAATGTGTATAAATGTATATTCAAGTGCAGTACTTAAACAAACACAAGATTACTAGATGAAATATTACCATCATGCCGGAATATCCATATCTTTCTCTGCTTGGAAAAACACAAAAAAGCCCTAGATTCATCCCAAGAATAAGCATTTGCACCTTTGGCCTTGGAAATTACGGCAACAGTCTCAAAGGAAGGGAGCTTATGAAATGAAATAGACTCAGAGAGAGAAAGAAGCTCTTGCGACCTCAAAACCTCCATTGCAATGATTGGCCTCCTTGCAAAGCCATTTATGGTTCTCTCTTGAGAGTAGGGTTCTTTTAGAAGCTCTAATTGGCTGGCATGATAATCAGATGGCGGAGATGAATCGGATGCAGACTCGGGAGAATAGATTCGAAGTGACCCATCGCTGCAGCCAAGGAGAAGTTTTGAGCCATATGATTCAACAGCATCAATCTTTGTGGGGAAATCACTAATTAGCTCGAAGGAATCATATGCACTGTGGACCATCTCTCTGCTAATATAATGTTGGTCAAGAGTATACAAAAACAAGACCAATTAAATCAATAACACAACTAATCAATCTAAAACTAGCTAATCAATTACTGTTGATTAGCAGACTTTTGCAGCTATCTCTCTTGGAAATAGCTCCTATGATTTTCAAACAAAACTTGTGCAGCCAAAAAAAACTAACGCACAATTTAGTACTCAACACTACTAGCACCCGGCTCCCAATTTCAGTTCCCTCAACATATTATCAGTTCTACGAACCCTTTTAGGCCTTGTATCATTTCCAATTTGTAGAGCTAGCAGTGTGTTAAATTGTTGATGGCACTGATTCATCATAGGTTAGTTGTCAAACACACAAGTTTCATTCCCCACAAACCAACACACACAAGTTCAATTTTAGCACTCAACACTACCGGCACCAGGCTCCAATTTCGGTTCCCTCGACTTATAATCAGTTCTACAAGCCTTTTAGGCCTTGTATCATTACCAATTTGTAGAGCCAGGCTAGCCAGCAGTGTATTAAATTGTTGATGGCACTGATTTATCATAGGTGAGTTGTCAAACACACAAATTTCATTTCCCACAAATTAACAGACACATAATATTAATTTGCAAATTTTAAATTAGATTGAAGCTACTAAATGGGCAATTCGCATTGCAGATTCAAAGAACAAATACTTTTTCTATTTATTTATTTGTTTTTTAAATATGAAAAAGAATTCAGATTCAAACAAGATGATGAAATTCAGATTATATAACTAAAACCAATTCAATAAAAACCAATGCCCAACTAAATTCAGAGTCAAAACCTCAATATAATCCAATGAGAAACGATTCAACCCCGAAAAAGTTGGTACTTTCAACGAGACAATTGTAGCATAATGTCAAAATTATCTTTCTAATTGAGAGAATTAAAATGGAAATTGAAGAATTATTATAAACAAATTAAATGTTATTGCTAACCTTTGGAGAAGAAACCAACTTCCAACGCAGCAGAATAATGAAGAATAGAGAAGACGCTGTCAAACTGATCCAACTTTTATGGATGTGCTGTTTTTTTTTTTTTTTTTTTTTTTTTTGTCTGTAATATTTCGTTAAATTAGTAGCACTGACCTCTGGCAGTGCCTCAGACAGCGGTGATCGTCAGGCGGACGGTCGCCGGCGATTGTAGGGCGGACGGTCGGCCGTGATGATGGTTGGCAGAGCTACAAAGAGCGTATTGAGAAACCGAGTGATGTACAAAACTAAGGCTATTTTTAAAGTTACGTCATTTCTACTTTTAGAATTTATATTATTGATAATTAAAGATAAGAAAAATTGCATTAAATAATACCACCTTTTACCCGTCCGCTAAAAACAGGTCGATCTTTTGATTATCTCTAAATAATACCATTTTAAATTGGTATCCGTTTTAAACAAGTTATTTTACCTACAACCTAGAGGTGACCGGTTATCAGATTTTTATTTGTTAAATCGTTTATCAAATTATAATTAATTGCTAATTATCTAATAGTACTTATGATTAACACTTCTTAAAAAAATTAACACACATTAATTAAAAAAAATAAATTTCTTAAAAAAAAAAAAAAAAAAAAAAAAAAAAAAACAGAAATTTTTTCCCCTCCCCCTCCATTGATGTCGGCTTCCCCAACTAGCTTAGCCGCTTGTCGCCAACCAGAAGCCCCACCGACCACCATAGATCAGCACCTTCCCTTCCTCCGGTCACCTTTGACCAACTCCTCCCGCCAGTACTTCAAAGCAAACCTCGTACCTGTCGACCCCCAAATTCGACCCTTTCTCTCTCCCCAAACCCCGACCTTAATTCATCTCCTTCTCGTTACACCTTTGACAGCTGTCTGGAGTCTCGGGGTGTGGTGGGGAGGTGGGCGGGATGAGGGTTTGGTTCATCTCCCCAAACCCAGACCCCAATTCATCTCCTTCCCTTTACACCTTTGACAATTGTCTGGAGTCTCGGGGTGTGGTGGGGAGGTGGGCGGGATGAGGGTTTGGTTCGATTTAAGGTGGGTTTGAGGGCGTGACTGGGATTATGGTGGTGGGGCTACCGAGGAAGGGTGATGTAGGGTTTGGTTTAGGGGTTGGGTTCGGTTCGGCGTGGTGGGTTTTGGGGTGGGGTGGGGTTTCAGTCCTGTGGGGTGTGGTCAGGTGAGAGGGGGTGGGATTTCGGGTTAGGGATGAGGGTGGCGTGGGGTGGGGTTCAATTAAGGGGGTTGTGGGTGTTAGGGGTGGTGGTCAATGGTGGGGCAGTGGTTGTAGGGGTAGGGGTCAGTTTGGTTCAGGGGTGGCGGTGGGGTTTGGTGGTGATGTCGTGGTTATGGAGAATGGTGGTGGTGAGGTGGGAAATGTGAGATTAAAGAAAAAAATAATAATTATTATTATTTTAAAAAGTTAAAAACATTAAAAAAAATTATATTTTCAGACCAATAAACTGAATACACGTGTCCATATAATATATTAATCAGGTTACCAACAAGTTACAACTTGTTTAAAGCGGATACCAATTAAAGGTGGTATTATTTAGAGATAATCAAAAGGTCGACCTGTTTTTAGCGGACGGGTGAAAAGTGGTATTTTTTAATGCAATTTTTCCTTAAAGATATTATTGATCAAAGATTAGCATCGGCATACGTGCCTAAGTGAAATGGAGTAAGTATTTAAAAATGGAGGGAGAAGTATTTACACTTTTGCTTCGGAATGAAACTTAATTACAAAAGTATTGTTCACGTAGGTTCGGATAAGGTAATTCAATTTTTTTTTCGAAGCAAAGTATTACTTAATATATAAACTACTATTTTAAGAGGTTGTGTTAATACTCCCTCCATTTTAAATACTTGCTCCATTTTTCCATACGCGGAGTTTTAGGAGAAATTGGATAAAGTAATAAAATATGGTGGTAGTGGGGTATGTGAAAGAATATAAATTTTGTAAAAAGCAAAAGTAGTTGAGAGTTTTGGAGGAGAGTGAATATGAAATTAATAAAATATGATTGATGTTGGGTCCATTAGTTGGGAAAAAATGAATTAAATATTGTAAAAACTTTTCACATAAGGAAATAGAGCAAGTATTTAAAAACGGGCGGAAATGAAAAGTGGAGCAAATATTTAAAAATGGAAGGAGTATTAAACTAGATTAGTCTCGTGTGATGCATAATTAGAGAATAGATTGTTTTCCGAAAATTAATACTAATAATAATATAGTTGATCAGGATTTTAATAAAAAAAATAAAAAATCATAAAATTAAATGATGACATCATTTGTACTTTTTGAGGGAAATTTTTTTATGATAATATGACATGTGTCTAATTTTAGGATAGGATGATGTTAGTGGTCCCTTTCATTATGACACAACACATGAGGATAAGGAGATTCGAACACCCAACCTCTTAAATAACAAGAATGACAATTATCAACCATGTCATAAAATAAATGTATATAATTGCAAATCACAAAGTCTAATTTTTTTTTTTTTTAAAAAAAAAAAAAAGACACCTTAAATATTAAATCAATAACATAATATTAAAACAGACACTATGAATGACATGTGTCACTTCCAGGTGCTATTTTTTCCCTCCAAAACTCCCCCTCCCCTTTTAGCAAAAAATCTTTATTTTTGGAAAATTTGTATAATACAATTATAATAATATTCCAAATCTTATATATTAGTTTTACACAAAATGTATTTCTTTTTATTTCGTATTCTTAATTATACACATTTACCTATAATATTACTCTAACTCTTTTTTAATTATAGAAAAAGTGGGCCACTAGTTCAAGTATAAGATACTATCATTACCGCCTAGAAATTTTTTAGCCGGAGAATTATAGAAATTCTATTCTAAAAGTAATAATAAAATTGGTTCATATAATTGATATTGAAGAAATTACTTTAAAACATCACTTTAAATTTTTTATTCAAATAACTCTAATATTTTATTTCTTAGACTAATGGAGTATTACATGACTATATAATAAAGTTGTGTTCGACAACTATATCATATGTCTAATTCTAGGAAAATGTGAAATATCAATCAATTTTTTTTATTATTACGTAATTAAATAAATTTATATCTTATTAAATATAGAAAGAAAAAAAAAATATTGTCTTTTGCTGAAATATGTGTTTGAGATGATAAATTTATTACATTCGACATTATAAATAAGATGCACAGTAAAAGACACATCAGACATAGTGACAAGTGACATCTTCTTGTGTATCTCTTTTTCTCTTTTTTCGATAAATAACTATCATCTACTGATAAACATTTAAGGCAATAAACAAACAATGATTAAACTACAATTATTGGATAGTTTCAAACACAGTTTTATATAATAACAAAGAGCGACGATATCATGTAGAACATCACTTCATAAACAGAAAATGTACAATAATAATATAGGTTAGTGTTGCCTAATTGTTGATTATAATTGCCTATAATAATCCGAGTAGTATTTATTTTCATTCCGAGTAGTATTTATTTCCATTGAAATTATTTTATTGGATATAAAGGTGATATATTATTTGTAATTCATATATTTATATGTATGTTGTGCTAATAGTTTTATTGTAGATTTTATCCTGCTGTTTGATTAATATTTTCACGTTTACTCCATTAAAGGTATTTATAAATAAGTCATGAACAATAATTTTTTTTTCTCAATTTTAGTTTTAATAATTTTTGCGTTATTATTTCATTTTTCTACATGCATTGCATTTTTTTATTCCACATGAGTTGCCTCATTTTTATATTATATCACAATTAATTATGGAAAAATAATTATTATTACCGTGCATCACACGGACACTAATCTAGTAAATATAATAACACGGTTTAATTAAAGTAGCAACCCAGTACAACGCCCGGACTACACACTAGTAGTATAAATTAAATCCGCTAACGTCATTCAAAAAAATAAAAAATACTTAGTATATTAACTTCTTCCTTTCACTCTTCGACCTCTCTTAGACAACCAAGTTAGAAGGCACAAATAGTGAATGTCGTAACATTTTTTGATGGTATCGCATGAATATGAATGACAAATCTAATATATATAAATAAAGTAGGCATTTTTGGATAGTATTCGGTGCGCCACATAAGCAAAGGTATTATTTCGACCAATTAAAAATTAGATTTGTATTTTATTTAGAATTAAAAAATTCACTCTCCACCTAAGCAAAATTGACGAATGATATTTAAGAATTTTGTCACGTGGCTAAAAACAACGAATAGTGATTTATTAAAATTTAAATTATTCAAAAAACAAAAAATTATCTTTAAAAAAAAACTAAAAATCATCTTTAGATATAAGGATTTTAAATTATATAAAGACAATTGTATAAATTATATTTTGATATTAGAATTTAAATTATTAAAAAAAATTAAATTATTTTTTGATATTAATGATTTATTTAAACATCCAATGACTGAGATGATAATTAAATATTAGATTAAAATCATATCTTAAATAAAATATTATATTTAACTGATAAACGAATAAATAAAGTTTGATACTTACCATTATAAGATAAATTTTGATAATGTTTAGGATAAAAATATAAATTGTTACTTAATTATAATTAAATTAAAATTTGTGATACCTGCCATTATAAAATGACGCATCATATGACACCAACTAAATTTCAAATGAAAACAAAACCAAATCAAACGAATTTTGTGTTAGTAATTTTGTGTCATATTTAGGTTATCAATGGCTAGGTAATTTTTAGCTTAATTTTTAAAATTCATGTTTAAATTTATATTTGCAATTATTACTTATATTGTATTTATTTGTGTACTTAACAATTATATGTTTATGGTTTGTTTATTAAATTTTGTTTTACATATGGATCTAATTTAATTAAAGAATTAAAAGCAAAAGTGATTAGAAAATCAAAGTGTGAGTTTCTCACCTAACGTACAAAACTTCTTTAAACAATATAGCTTAATAATTTAGGATATGATCCTATTGGACGAGGAGGTATTATATTTTTATAAATTGTTTACATTTATTAAATTTGTTTATAAACCTTTGTAGTTTTTTATTAATTAATTTCATGAAAAAAAAAACAAAAACTTTGTGATTTAGATGGCTTAATTAAGTTATTAAATTAACTTAATTTCTTATTTTTAATTAGGGTGATTACGTTCATGCCTCAATTAAAGCCAACTTTGTTCAACATTTTCTTCCAATATTGATTGAATTGGATCAATTTCGTAATGATTTTTCTCTTCCTGATAAATATATTAATTTATTTTATAAAATTATAAAGACTAATTTTATATCAATTTTACTTTTGCTAACATCCTAACATTTTTGTGTTCTATTTATCCACTTTTGTTAATTAGATGTAGTAGGTATGGTTGTGAACGAAGTTAATGGTTCTATGGTTAACTGGTATACATGCTTTATTTATTATTATTTTTTAATAATATTTCTTACCTATATTTAAAGTAGGCATTTTTTTGGAGCATTTGGTGCACCACATAAGCAAAGGTATTATTAGTATTATTTTGACCAATTAAAAATTAGATTTTTATATTTTATTTTAGAATTAAAAAATCACTTTCCACCAAAGCAAAAGTGACTTATGAGATAGATTTAAGAATTTGGCCACATAGATAATTAAAAACAACAAATATATTTAAAAAATAAAAATTATCTTTCTTTTAAGAACTAAAATATATCTTTAAATATTAAAATTTAAAATTATTTTAAAAACTAAATATTATACAAAGTTATATGTTAAAAAAAAAAAAAACCATAATTATAGAATGAGATTTGATATATTTATTTTTACATGCCACTTAAGTTAAAAAAAAATCTATAAATAGTGATTTAGCATTTAAATTATTTTTAAAAATTAAAAAAAAAATCATCTTTTTACATTAAATTTTTTATCCTAATAATCATCACACGAGCTAAGACTTGAGGTTTTTATATTATTTAAAAACAAAAAAAATCACACGAGCATTATAAATTACATAAAATTATCTTTAACAAATATTAATAATTTAATCAAAATTTTATACAAAAATTATCTTTTCATGAGATTTCTTTTTAAAAACCGTGCATCGCACGGGCTTACATCTAGTCTATATATATATTAAAACTCAATGGGAAGACATGAACCCGCCATGTGTCATCATGACTAGGCAGATGATGTGGCGCCATGTCATACAATTACTACAATTCATTAAAAAAAATAATAATGAATTGTTAGCCTTAATGTTCAAACATATGACCTCGTGCTTATTATACTTTAACTTCAACCACTATTCCAATAACACATCTCATATCTACAATGTTTTGTTAAAAAAAGTTAATCATATTCATAAACCTGAAGTCGAACTAAACAAATTAATAATTTAAAATACTAGATATTGGATAATATATTTTGATGTTCAATAATGATTGGAAAAATCTATTTAAATAGTACGAGTATTGAAGTAAATGTTGTTGAATTGGAATAAAGTAAGGGAATTCAAGGCGTTAGGTCTAGCCGTCCGATCGGACGCGTGTTGGCCCGTTGGACTCCAACGGTTTGATCTTTGGATTCCCTCACTTAATTTCTTGAGTAATTCTTATAACCCTCAATTTAAGAGGATGTTTAAGGTGATTAATCACCACTATTATTCTCTTGATAATAAGTAACTCTAATAATCCCCCATTTAAGAGGATGTTTAAGGTGATTATTCACCTCTCTTGATGCTTGAGATTATTATTCTATGTTCTTTCATATTTCTCTATAAATATAAGAAGCCCTTTTTTTTTTTTTTTTTTTTTTACACTTGAAAAATACATCGCACAATAGTCTAAACACATTCTCTATTGAGCATAAGTTCTATTGGGGATAGGTTTCTTGACTTAAACCTACCACCCAAAAGTGTGTTTGTGTGGAAGTGGTGTGTTAACCTTAGGGAACGTGCCGGCGAATACAATTGAACACCTTAATTGAACACCCAAAAGTGTGTTTGTGTGGAAGTGGTGTGTTAACCTTAGGGAACGTGCCGGCGAGTACACCTTGGTTGTGTTGAAATTCGTTTTCAAGTTAGTGATTTGCATCACGACACATCGATATTGTTCCGTTGTTTGTGAGATTATGTTTTTGATCTTACATAAATATTTTTATACTATTTGTACTAGACTACTCCTTTATTTACAATAAATGTAACTAATTTAATCTTTTTTTGTATTTTATCACATAATTTTTATTATAAAACCTCATTTATAATATACATATAATGAATCGGGGCATTACCTAGGCCAAAAACTAGTATCAATTCAAATATTATATTTAAATATTTGAAAAGAATTTCGGATTTTAAAAAGCCATGAAAATTGGATTTTGTTTTAAAAAAAAAAAAACAATTAAATTAAACAAAATAGTCCCGGCGGGGCTCGAACCCGCGACCTTCGGCTCATAAGACCAACGCTCTAACCAACTGAGCTACGGGACTGTGATGTTATAATCATGTAGAGTTATATATTTAATATAACATAAAATCCTGTTAACTTTCCCATTGATGGTCTCCAAACCCGTCAAAAAGAGCCCAAACAATCCCAGAGAATATAACACGTGTTACAATACCATTCGCTGAACTGTAAAAAACTTCCATTTTGTCCATCTCTCTCACAAATTCCTCCCTCTGTCTCTCTCATTCCTTCTCAACTCAGTGACTCACACTAATCTCTCTCCTCCTCAAATTAAAATTAGAAGTTTGATCAGAAAATGACGGTCGGATTATGTAACGCTAATCCGGTGGTCCACGCTAAGAAAGATAGAGTCGCCCGCACTGAAGACACTGCCGCCGACACCTCCTCCGCCGTTGACCCTCTCGACGTCTATGATATCCTCTTTTATTTATTTTATTTTTAAATTATTATTATTAATTGTTAAAAATGTTATACTTACTTAATTACTTGTGTTAAAGTTGATATTGTATTTGCCTTAACTTGGTAACAAATCATGTGAGGGATATAAGAGATCCGGAGCATCCATATTCACTGGAGCAACTTAGTGTTCTTACTGAGGATTCTATTACTGTTGATGATAATCTTGCTCGTATTTTGTGAGTTTTCTTCTATTTATTTATAATCTCATTGATCTGATTTTTTAGGAAATTTATGATTTACCTATAATACTGTTAAATTTACTGAATTACTGGTAAAAAATTGAAGATTAGGTAATTTAATTCCTGATCAAGAGTTGACATAACTATATTTTAATCCGTATTAGTTGGACACACCTAATTTCCATACTTCAGGCATTTAAAATCATATTTTTGCCTTATTGTAACTATTCATTGTCAAGTGTGCTAGCGTTGTATATCTTATGTGATGACTCGAGTTCGAAACATATCAATTTAAAAAACACAGGGAATTTCTGTCAAAAATAGAAGAGGTTATAATTTGGTGTTTTTTGCCAAAAAAAATAAATAAATAAAGAGCTTAGAATTAGTCACATAATAGTATTTGTATTTAGTTAGGAACACCACATGTTTTCCATGTGTTGTTTTTTACATACAACGATCCAGTTGCATGTTTGCTTTGAAGCGTCACATTTGCCTGTTGTTACCTTGAAATCTCTTTTAAGCTTCTTTAAAGTTAGGAGAATGTGAATGTCGAATGGTCGACCTCAGTTCAACACGTTATAGCTGGCCATAAGCTTACTTTGTTGCCACAACTTCACTACTTCAAAATGAGATAATTGATTGTGTTGGAGAAACTCTAAAGTAATAATTTTAGTACTAGTACTAAAGTAATTAACCTGTTTAATTACTTTTGCTCTTGGTCTCATTAGCCTCGCCCCTAATCACATTAGCCTGTTTCTTTCAACCCTGATCTTGTGCATTGTGGTCTTGTTCAACAGGATAACATTCACCCCAACCGTCCAACATTGCAGTATGGCGACTGTTATTGGCTTGTGCCTAAGAGTTAAGCTAAAGCATTACTTTCCTCCTCATTATAAGGTGAGTTGTTTTGGCTTATGAACTTGTAAACCTGATTGATTTATTTGGTATGCTTGAAATATAATCTGAGAAGCCTTTCGAGACTGCCCATTTCTGTTCGTCATGCCATACAATAAATACAAAATGTATAGACCAAGTCGAGTGAAGAGCAAAATCTACCCTAAGTAACTGGTGGGTTGATACTGGTAGCTCAGATATAGATACTTCCACTCTCTAATTGTCATTTGTCTTATGTTTTTGTATGCATCACATCTGCTAGCTAGTGTGCCAGTCTGCCATAGATTGCAATCGACAGCTCATTAACATATCCAACAAGAAGAATGATGTCTTACATTGTCATCTAGTCGTCTTCAGTCCTTGTGTAATCTGAAATAAAACCATGCTGGTGATCTGGGAGTAAATTATTTCTGAAAGTGATTGTTTGGTTGTCCTTTGAGTCATACTTTTCGTTCAATGTGATTTCGAGCTGTGTAAGGGAAACCATGATTTTCTGGCTCTTGTGTAATGGGGACATCGTGATTTTCTCAGACGAATAATACAAGTATTGTCTTTTTTACACAGGTTGACATCAAAGTATCCCCTGGCTCTCATGCAGATGAAGGATCAGGTGAAGCTTGCAGATTTCTGAAATTCCTCTGTTTAATTGAGCTTAAGACTAAATTTTTAGCATAACTCATTTATGTTACTTCCACTGAGTTCACAGCCTCTGAAATTATCTTTCCAGCTCCTTGGTTAATTTCTCATCTGCTTTGTATATTCCTTGCAGTGAACAAACAATTGAACGATAAAGAGAGAATTGCAGCTGCTCTAGAAAATCCAAACCTTCGCCATCTTGTGGATGAGTGCCTCTCTTCCAATGAAGTAATTAACTTCAATTAGTTGCAGTGTTGTTATGTATGTACAGATGTACAGTAAAAACCTTTGTAACTTAGTACGAGTATGAAATATAGTGAGACTTGGCTTGTATTCTTGTAATGATGTATTGTGAATTACTAAATGCTGTTTGTAAGCTGAGAAGTGCACGTCTTTTGCTGTCTAATGTAATGTATGCTACTTGCTGTATCATTAAGGGCTTGTAATCAGTTCTTATTGATCCGTATATTGTGTCGGGTTAGTTCGTACTTTCTTGTATTATCTATCCATTGCAATTCAGTTTTGCAAAGGACATTTTGCAGTGACACAATAGCAAAACTGAGAAAATCAACAGATCGCAATGACGATCTGAGTGATAATGGCCCAAGTGTGGCCAAAGTGTCAATAATTCGTAAAGGAGCTTTTGGCAGACAGTTAATCTACTGCCTTTCAACCTCCTAATATCAAATTTTAGAGGTGCTCCTATCCTTCTTTCTTATAAGTTAATCCACTTTTGGAGTTGTTATATAAATGAAGAATCTTCTAAGAGGTTTTTAAATGCTTACTTGAATGTATACGCATAGTAATGCTATGAGGTGCATAACGATTACAGCCGTGGACCTTGCATATATGCAGATTAAAACTGAGGCACAACAAAGTAACTCATGTTTTCTCCCCCCAGCAAATTACAGGAACTTATTTAGCTATATTAATGGGGAGAGCAGTAGAGCACCATCAAGATAGCTGATGCTTGATTTCTGCACTAAATTTCTCAGAAACTATCAGTTTACAATCTTTGCTATTTGCTGCCTAAAATGGCTCTGGAGCTACTTCAGCTTTTGAATGTCCACTGGGAAGAATGGGCTGCACAGACACATCTCGAGTAACACAGCCCTGAGCAGCATAAGATGACTTGTCGTCAAATCCCCAATATCTAGAAGCCTTTATATCATCCTCAGCCATCATTCTTGAGAATTCCTCGTGGTCATATTCTAATGTGGCAATACCACCAAACTCCTTCGGAAGGTTTTCCACATCAAAGTAAGACCTCATCAGCTCAGCACTGTCTTTATTCTTAGGATAAACAAACTTCACCTTCTGAGAAGTTTTGGGATCCAGGAAGTATTTTACAGCCTGAAACAAGTCAAGATTAACAGTTGTCAGATAACTGCTTGAATACATATGAAATAGAAAACAATTAAGCCCGTTTAATTCCAGCTAGAGGCTAGAGCATACGCCAAGTTAGTTAGTTCATAATACCAAGAGACCTACAAGACATTTATAAGGAATTGAAAATTTGGTTAGTCTCACCAAATTACAGATAGCAGCACTATTGGAAAAGGTGGTTAGTTAGTCAGCATTACTATCCTCGTTGAATGGTAGCTGTGCCATTACATGTTAAAGAGAATTAAGAGACAACAAACAGCAAATAAATTGCACATAGCGCATGTTACTAACCCTCCAGAATGCATAAAAGATCCTTGGTGGATTGTAAAGGACTGCTATTCCAAGTCTTTCAGGGTAATGGTTCTGCAAAATATTGATGATATCTCGGGCTGTTCTGACTGATAAACTGGTGCTCATTGAAAAGCCGGTATAATCTATCATCCACACCATCTGCTCTTGGCCTTCAGGCAGGTTGAGGATGGCATTTTCTAACAAATAGACTAAGTGACGGACATTACCTTCTGCTGATGTGGTGTTCTGTAACATAGACAGAGAATTTCAGCTTTACAAAACTATGCATAATGACTGTTTGGAGTAGGAAAGAACTAAAGATCACCTGCTTCCCAGGTCTCATTATAAGGACAGTCCTTCCTTCACGATCATGAAAGTTCGCTCGGGAAACCTTTCCTGTCTCACCTTCATGTGCGACTTCATGCTGGCAATACAAAATAATAATAAATGACAAATATTGTTAACAATAACAATAACTAAAAAAAAGTTCAAGCATTCACATAAATAAGTAAGAGAAATAGAACTAATTATAATTTAGTCGAACTTTGTGAAAAACATGATTGTTCTTCTCCTATGACTATGAGAAAATCCAAACTTCCAAGTGATCTGAATCATCTGATACTTGACCTTTACACAGAATTTTTATCATACGAGTAAGGATTAAGTCAGCTTGTTATGGCTTTACTTTGTCAAGGAACAGTTGCAAATGGATAGCTAATATGTATTCATGTTCCAGCTAGCTCCAGTTTCTAAATACTCATTTCCACCATATACAAACTCTCAACTGTACAGGAAGTTAAGGAGGCTGCTCATCCCTTGAGTAGCTGACTATATAAACTAATTCAGCGAACATTGTAAGTAATATGAATCTGTCCATTGTTAATAAAATGGAAAGATTCAATATTCCATGGCCTTCGTTTATAGTGGATTTGTTTGCACATCTTTCTTATTGTAATATAGAAATGGTTGTTTTGTTTCAGGCCAAGAGCCAATAGACAGCATCTTCTTCGCTATCACAGAATATGGCCACAGATATCGGAATTCAAATCCCCTTCCCAAACACTAAAGCCTCTTTAGAAGCCTTAGGGTGATGAATATGAACACAAAAAACATAAAACTTCACTTTCTGAGCAGTGACAAAAAGTATGATGGTACAGCTGGTATCTACTATCTAGGCAGAGGGTTCTACGAAATTTCCCAACACTGATGAGTTCACCTCAAAAGTTGACATCATAAACACAATTCATATAAGGCATCAAAATTTGAGGTTATAGGCGCAAATGCTTCATTTTGACCCCTTTTTTTTTGTTTTTGTTTTGTTTGTTTGTTTGTTTTTTTTCTTTCCTTTTTCTCTCTTAAGGGTAATTTATAGAACACTTAATTAATTACTTCATAAATAATTTCAATTGGCATTTGAGTTTGACATATTTACATAATACTTTGTGTTACCAAATAACGTTTGTCTTACCCAGCGGATTTCCTCAGGTTTGTATGCATCCCTCCATTTAAGCGTCTCTTCTACCATTTTCTTTGCCTTATCAACGTTGCAGTTCCTTGCTTCCAGGTATCTCCGAAGGCAAGCATCAGTACAAAATTTTGCATTACGTCCAGATAGTGGTCCAAGAGCTACCTTGAGTTCTTTGACCTGGTTGATAAACAGTATATCAAATTATCGATTGATAGTTCAGAATTTAGTGGAACTACAAAAATCACCAATTTATGTTCATTCATGTAATAATAGATCAGTAAGATGATCTATTTTGATTATCTATAAAAATCTGTCATTTTCAACTAAATTTATTGACATACTACTATCTTCAACCACTTCCAACATAAGACAATGGATCATGATTTAGCAAATCAATCAGAAAATTGCACTTCCAGTTAGATATAGTCAATATACTACTTTAAATATCAGAAATTTACGGAAAGTTACAAAATTCCACCATCAAAATAAAAAGAATATCACCTTTGCATCGCGCTGTAAGGGATCATTTCCATCATGGTTCTGAGAACTCTTAAACAAAAACATTATTGATCTGAAAGAATTTCAACCTACAAGCAGAAAATAAAGGTATGATTATTATCAAAATACAGACTTTCGCGTCTGAATATATGAACTCGGATCACAGCTTGAAAACACTACCTCCCTCTCACAATAAGTCAATAAACACACCACATTGAACTTTACAAGTCAAGAATTCACTTAACTTTGACCATTAATTTAGTCAAAATTGTACAGCATAGAGTAACATTGTGAATCTACATTTCTTAGATAGAACTTAACAATTAAATTCCTGTATACAATGGACTAAAATGGCACTACTAGTAAAATTGAATGGTCAGAGTTGACTAAGATGGTTAGCTTAAAGCTACAATGTAAATTTTCTAATTTTAAAGCAAAATCTCCCAAATATATCTTCACCTCAACATGCATATAGTTCAAATTAGTAGGAGAAGCAACACTATCAAGCAAGTACAGTTTTTGATTTTATTATTTTTATTTTTAACAACCCCACTACTAATTAAAATAATAATAGAAAATGTAATTTGATAGTGATGTAGCCATTAAAAGAGAAACAGTCCAACACTAAAAGTCCAACAATTTACAATCACACATTAATAATTAATAACTAATAATTAATTAAGATTAAAATAAACAAAATTCAGGAAAAATGTAGAAATATCGAAATTTGGAGTTTCATCTTCCCTAAAATGTCAAAATTAAAATGACAATCATCGAGAAACAAACAGAATTATACGGAAAAAAAAAAGAAGTTGAATTCATGCAAAATTTACCAGAAAAAATGGCAAATTTCAAAGTAAACGAAAATTTACAGATCTAGAATTGAACTAATTCATAAAATCTATAAAGAATTTTAGAACTGAATTAGAATAAAGAGGTAGAGGAGCGTACCTAAAATGTCTGGGAAAATGGAGGAGAGAGAAAGAGAGAAGAAGGTAAGCGTTATGTCAACTTCACGCAGAGTTCAAATACATTAGAAATTACGAGATGTCCGTCAAAATTCGTGAGGAGAGAGAAAGAGGAAGAACGTGGAAGTGGAGAAAGAAATGAATTTGCTTATATACGGAGTACTTATTAATGTTGAGAGATTCGATTTAATGTGAATCAGGCCAGCCACGAGACACATCACTCGTTTTTACCGATTTTTTATTATTTTATGGTCATGCAACTCATGCTCACTCTCGTCCACATGATACTACGGAATACTCCCTTCGTTTCAATAATTCAATTTAGCGGATATGCTTATATGCTTCCTTTATCACGTAGTTTATGAAACAGCTAATAACTTGTTAGTAAAAATAATTTGCATTAACTAATTTAAAGTGAATTTGTGAGAAAGGGGGTCGTGTTGGAGGTAGATGTACACCTTATTTTTACTTATGTTAGATTTAATAACTTCGAATAAGATAAGTTCAGAAAAATTAGTTTCAATAAGGGTTATTCAAGTTCAAATTACAAGTTAACGACTAGAATTAGTTTTAAAAAGGTTTAGTAATTCCAAGTAAGTTTATATAAGTGAAAGTCAGGTGAATTGAACACACCATTAATAATAATATGTTTGATTTACCTTATTTGAGAAAAATAAGTTTTAACAAAATAGATTCATGCAAAATAAGTCCTGATAAGATTAATAGGGTTTCTTAAGTTCAATTTATAACTAAAAAAGTTTTAATAATGTCTAATAAATTTTTATGATTAAATAAGATAATAATGTCTACTTCATAACAAGTATCGACAAGTTAAGATAATTAAAAAATAAGGTAAATATAGCACACTCACTCATATCTCGCTTTAAAAAATGAAAATGTGTCATTAATTAAAAACAGCAGAATTTAAATGGGAAAAATTATAACTCTTGAAATCTTTCTCTCCGGTATCCTTGGCATGCATTTACAACTAACAAATTTTGCCAATCTAGAAATTTTTAACACTCTCATGAGCCACTACGACAATTGCTACATAATAGCAATCCGAAATCATAGAAATTTGTTGCTTGACAACTTTCCAACGTAATGTTTACATCATTATTTGAGTACTAATTGTCCTGTCAAACATAATGGTTGCATTTTATACTCTTTGAAAATCTAATAAATTAGCATTCACGAACACATTCACAACTTATACTAAAAGCAAATCTAGTATATATACAACTATGTAGTGCAAAAGGCTGTAGAAAGTTGGGCAAAAATGCACAATGTGGAATAGCTTTATGGGCGTATGCATGAGCTTTTCTTGCTTGAAGCCAAAATAGTAGCTGTATTAGATTTGTGGAGAGGAAAGTGTATATGCATGGCAGCAACTTGTGAACGAGTTATTGCGTTAATGGGATCAACTTTTATTTGCAATTGCAATTAATATATTCTCCGTACGGTGAAGCGTATTCGTCAAATAGCTTTCGGTTAATATAAATGATACCCAAGACTTAAATGTAGTCTTCATCATATATAAAAAATAAAAAATAAAAAATAAAAAATTTAAGCATACAATAAGACAAGCATTGAAAATAACTTTCTTCCTCATGGAATTAGATGTTTCTCGTAAGATGGACCACAACTACATTTGTTTCTTCGAAGAAGCCCATCTAAATAATTTGCATCAAGTCTTCAAGGTGGGTGAACAACTTAATATAGTACTTTCAAATGAAGCAAAGCCCAATTGAATTACGCCCACATATATAAAATTCACTTTTCCATTGATCTTGTATTCTTTATTCCTTTGTGTGGAATGTGGATGTGAGAGATGTGAATTATTTAAAATAAAAAATAAAAAAAAATCTTTTTCTTTTCTTACCGTGATTTATCTGTTGCTAAGATGGTAATAAGTGTTCAATGAGATTTAGTGTTCAGAAATGCCATTAAGAGGACGTGGCAAATCCCATGGGAGATCAACAACATCATATGTGACACGGAGGTAGCTTTGAACACTCTTGATTCTCACTCCATTCACCATTGTTGCAGGGAAACGAATATGACGGCGAATTACATGGCAAAGAAGGGGCGCCATCATGAAACTTTACTTTGGTCCTTCAATAATTTTGCGCCTTCCCTCTCCCTAATCATTCAAAAGGATGCTTTAGTTAAGTATCCCCAATCAAAAAGACTAACCTAGCTTTTCTCACTCAATCAAAAAAAAATAAAAAATAGATAAATTGAGGTTTAGTGATCAAACCTCTTTGTATGCATTTTTAATCAACCGTAATTGTCGAAGATGATATAATATGGGCGTTGAATGGGTAGTAGGCAAGACACAATCGTGGCTAGAGCAGCACATTTCCCTCCTTAACAGTAAAACAATAATGGTTTATTTGGAGGGGCAAATGGACTTAAAATGGGCCCAAATTTTAGGATCCACGTGTCATCAAGTGATAGAAATAAAAAAAAAAAATAATAAAAAAATAATGGAGCGAATATAAAGTAGGGATAGAAAAATAATTAAAACGTGTAAAAGGAAAAGAACCAACACAAGAACCTCCATAGTGTTATAACAATTATACTTGTATTATGGAGAACTTAATTTGGATTTTTTTGGTATTTGCTACTCCATCCGTGTTTAAATAAATGAAACGTTTTCCTTTTCCAGCCATATTTAAATATATAATACGTTTCTTTTTTTTTTAGTAACTTCTCTCAATTTTTTAATAATATTCTCTTTATTTTTAATACTTTGTAATATTCTATACTAATGAATGATCCCCACAAATTCCTTACTTTCTTCTCTCTCCTCAAACTTATACCGTACCCACTACGTATTATTTTATAAATTTAACTAATTTTCTTAAAACTCCGTAAAAGTTAAAACGTTTCATTTATTTAAACACAGAGGAAGTACTTTGCTAGTGATTACCGGTGATGAACAAGGGTTATGCCAAAAAGGTCATAATTAATAGCAAGCTAAGGGATTATTATTGCTTTGTAGTGGGACATTTATGAAATGATTAACTTTTTTACTAAAAATTTAGAACAACTTTAAAATGAATGGAATTACAAAAGGTTGCCATCTAACAACCTAACATTTAGGAAAGCAATTCTATGATTTAATTATCTTATGCCACCATGCATAATCATAATGCATGTTTATAATGAAAGCATAGCAATGCAATTGGTAAACTCCTAATACTCTTAATGATGTATTGAGTATATAATAATTTTGATGAGCTAATAATTAAAGAAATCTCACTTTACTTGAAGAGTTGAAGTACATACAAAACAATAATCAAGTTTATTAAAACTTAATAAGAATATCACAAGTTTATTAGTATTTAATTATTTTTTATTCACCGCTCTATAATCATAATCAATAAAGACAACACAAGATTCCATCTTATTAGTTGATACGAGTACATTACACACGAGATGTGCGCGATTGTATATCCATCCACAAAAATTAAAGGGTAGTTAAGTAGGAATTAATTAATTAATTAATTAATTAATTACTTCTTAGGGGCAAGCCTATCTCTAATCTTCTGAACTTGCTTGGAACCAACTTGGAAAGCCATAGTTAAAACATGATCTGGGACAGGTGGGGTCGAGGTAAACAACGTGGCGGCTACAGATTGGGTGCCAGGCAATTGACTGTTGAAGGCAGTTACTACTGCAGCTGGTTTTTTACCATTATTTTTTTGAAAATGGATTAACCCTCTTGGAAACACAAAGGTTTCACCAACGTTAAGGTGTTTAGAAATGAGCTTATTTGAAGTAGTTATGAAACCAACGTCTAATTCTCCGTACAAGACGAATATCATTTCCGTGGCCCTTGGGTGGGTGTGAGGTGGGTTAAGACCACCAGGGGCGAAGTCGATACGGCCCATGGATACTCCAAGTGTGTTTAGGCCTGGTATCTTTTCGACGTTGGCTCCGGTTACTAGGGATCCCATGGTGTTGTTTGTCACTCCGGGTTTGGCTATTCCAGCAAAGAAGAAGTCTTCTGCTGTTATGTTTGCTGCTGCCTTGCATGCAAATCCATTCACTTTCACCCCTGAAATTTTGTAATTCAATTTGCCAAGTACACAAAATTAGTGTAATGCAACAACCTTGGAAGTTGATATTTAGTGTATGTTTAAGTATGATGCAAAAATTGGTGCTCGCTATCAATAATCTATCACAAAATTATAGGTCACCCCTTATTTTTGTTGATGAAAAACTCGACAAACAAAATACACTACTAGTAGGGATGCGGATGAGGCGCACATTAGGATTCCAAAAATATAAGTGCATCTACAATTGAAGTTCAATGATCTATTTATAGCCTTGATTATTATTCATAAATGTCCCTTTTTTTTTAAGTCTTTCCAAGATGACGTTAAAAGTAACTTTTAAATGATCCAAATGCGAATAAAATAGTGGATATGATGGACATATATGGTGGGCCGACGATCAATTATTGATTTGGGCTAAAAAGAAAAGCCTAAGGAACAAAAGAAGGTTGAATAGTTGGAGTAGCATAGTCCATACTGTATGAGATGGAGTATATGTTGTATGTCCAATTCAAAAGTGCTTCATTCTTTGGACAATGGTAGGGCTGGCGGTTAAATCATGACTATTTTGGGTGCACCATCGGTGATTGATGCATCACCAATTCCTCACCTTTTAATCTTTGCATTTCTTGTTCTCTAGTCAATCAATGATTTGTGGTTTCATAATTATGGCATTTAGTGGATGATATGCTAGCAAATTAATTAATAAAATTCCGTGGGAGTGATTTAAAATATGGATCAAATCTCGTCTATATTATCACTTCTAACTTACTCTCTTTATCCCTATTTTTTTGCCTCATTTGACTATGTACGGTCTCCAAGACGCGTTTTAAAATGTCTACATCTTTATTTTCGTACATGTAAAAATTATAAAAACGTGATATTAATAAAATATACATTAAATCGAATCTAACAAGACCACTCATGACTATATTATCTTTTGTAGATTAACGGTAATTTACGGTCAAAATTTCAAAGTTTGACCCAAAAAATAGCAATGGGGCAAAAATAAAGGGACGGAGGATGTATAATTTAAGTATAAGACAAAGTTTAACTACTCAAGTTCATTTACCAAAAGAAAAAAGTGTTCATGTTCAAACTCCTAAATTAACCAAAAAAACTTCTTGTATTGCGTAGTATTTAAGTAGCTTTAGCTTAAAATCGATCAGCTCAACTCATATGCTCTTTAATTTTAAGCTATATACGAAGTAATTTACATATATATTATTGTATCAAATAGAGAATAGCACTAACATTTCTTGAACCAAACAACAAATGGCTAAAGAGCTAGGACTTCCTTCAAATACTTCAGATCGTCAACTTCAATGTTGTATATATAACTTATAGTAATTGACTAATTGCATTTATTAAAACGATTTATAACGTTGAAATCACAAATTAACCAATGCATTCCACTCCTAAATTATAACAATAAAAAATTTCATTGCATTAAGCTTTGATGAAGGGTACGATGTAAATCGCATTCATATCGAGTTGCATTGCTTATAATTTAAGTGCTTATAATTGCCAACTTCGATCTAAGGGACTAAGGGAGTACTCCGTATGAAATAAGCACGATCAAAGCCAAAAGCGAGGGAGAGAGAAAGAGAGAGTACATACCAGAGGTGGAATCAGCAACACAAACATCTTGGAGCATATCAGGATCATTAGCAAATGCAGGGGTGGCCACTGCCAAGAACACCACTAGAAAACCAGCAACTATTTTGACACCCATTATTGATAATGATATTTAATGGCTGTTTAGATCTAATTAATAACTCAATAAGCTAATTAAGATTTATTTAATTAATGACAAGTAGTTGGATGGGAAACTAAGGTTGGAGGGGTTTTCTTAAATACTGATTATAGTAGGAAATATGTGGTGGGTAGGAAGATTGATTAATGATATGTCAACCGCAAGAGAGGGCAATTAAGGCATGGGATAGGCCACATGCCTTGATCTATTTATTACTTGTAGTACTTTCTAATTGTTTCAACGTAAAGCAAAGGAGAATTATATGATATTGACTTTTTCCATCTCAAACTTTCATTTTTTTGTTGGATGAGAATCATGAGATGATTATTTATTGTATGTAGCCAATAAAAGGATTTCATTAAATTATTAAAAGGGGTTTTTTGTTGGTTAATTGGCGAGCCTCTGTTTACTTGATTTATTAACCTTAATTGACCCGATCGAACAATAACCAGGTTTAAATGTCTATAAATATATATATTGTTAATAAGTAAATCTATAATGTAAAGACTATTGCACTCAAAAACAATGTAAAGACTAAAAATACTACGTATTTAATTACAATTAATTAGTTTTAAACACGTTTTAATCTTTGGTTGCTATTTCCTTTTCTTGGAGTAGTGTTGTAAGTTAAGGCTAGTTTAAATGTAGCCAACTCTGGAAATAACTGGAAAAGTCATGGTCATTTTCAGTAGATATCATTGATTGGTAATGCGCCATGGATCATGCACGTAGTGCTGAAGAATTTAAGAATATAGTACTCCCTTTGTTTTTAAATACTTGCTTATTTTTTCTGGGCATGTATGTCGATGTTATTCTTTGATCAATAATATTTTTAATTATCAATAAGTATACATTCTAACAATTGAAAATTAATAATTTATTCATTGGGACGATTTCAACAAGTACCCACAATACTATATTTTTTTCTTTATATATAAATCACAAACATAAACAAAGTAAGACAAATAAATAGTGCAAAAAGTAGAATTAGAGCAAATATTTAAAAACGGAGGGAGTACTATAATAATAAGTGTTGTGTTGAATTGACTACCTTAATATTTTGATGATTGACTTACGTAAAACAAACTCTGACTAATGATGTTTATGAGTCTTGGTTGAACAGAAAGATTCAGGTACACAAATACATGTTCCAGAGTAGGAACAACAGAGTTTGGAAGACTTGATGATGAATGCAAGCTTTCAAGATGTCCTCACAACTCTATATACTTAGTTACTCAGTGTACGAGCTTAAGAAACAAAAGTGTTGGAAGGAATGGAAGGAATTAAGAAGAAACTCGAAGTGAAGGAACCTGAAGTAACTTGACGAATGACTCAGAAAGTTTTAAACGAAAGTTTTAAAACGGTTTTCAAAACCCTTAATTTAAGGAAGTGATAAAAATCAGTTTTGAAAAAGATTTAAAAAGATTTTATAAATAAATAAATAATTCATTAATTTAAAAAGATAAGTTTTAAATTAATTAGTTATTTATGTTTTAATTAATAAATAAATAATTATCTTTTTTAATAAATAATAATTATCTTTTGAATAAGTCTTTAACTGATTTTTAACTTGGTAAATATTGGCTGCTTAAATTAAGGAGCACGTTGAATTTAGGAGTCAAGCTAGGGAAATCATGTTCCTAAATTTCCTCTTCCTACATCCCAACTTCTCAGTCAAAGAGAACGTGGGATTAAGGGGGAAGTGGGAACTTGATGGAAGCTTGGTTTAACTCTTTATAAAAACAGATCAACGTTAAGTTTTGAAAGCGTGGAAAAACAATCTTAAGTATTCTGAGCATAGAGTTTCAAAGTGTTTAAAAGAGAAGTTCCTTCCATCCTTAATCTCTTAAGTTCTTTAGGAAATACTTGTAATCATTGTGTAATTGGGTTTGGGTTGTGAGAGTTGTAAAGTGTGAGACTTGAGAGAGTTGTTTACACTGTACAAGTGATTCGGAGTAGAATCACAAAGTGTGAGAAACTGTGATTGAGGGATCACAGTTGGGTAACTTGAGTTCCTCACGGAACTTGAGTCTAGGCAACGTATTAGTGATTGTAAATCATTTTTACAGAGTGAATTTATTCATTGTCTATATCAGTGTCTTTTCTCTTAGTAGTAGATTTAATTCCGCAAAATTTACCATAGTCTACATACACTACAATTCACCCCCCTCTTATAGTATACATTGTTCTATCAGGTTGATGTTAGGAAAGTAAAATATTCATTCCATTCTCATTTAATATGGATTTGAGATGAATTATATTTATTCTAGAAATGGATAAAGATTGCCGCTTGACCCGGTTCGTGCGGTAGAGCTCTTGAAAGCTCCATGTTAACTTATGCTTTTCCCTATATTTTTTAATGTCTTATGCTTTGGGATTGTGCTAATCGATCCGTTTCATACCGTTATTTATCAAGATAATGCATAAGAATGTACGTGATTATGATGATAAATTTCTCTTAAGCTAATACTATATTGAAAATAAGTTTTGGTTATTAGTACCAAATAGGAGTACATAGTACTTCCTTCGTTTCTTTTCAGTTGACACGTTTCTTTAGTTACGTTTGTCAATGCATAAATTCAACCGTTAATATCTTTAATTTCCGATAAGCAAAAATTATAAAAATTTGATATTTAGAAAAATATATTGTGAAAATTATAACAAGATCCCACATCACTATATTTTTTATAACATATAAATCACAAAACAAGATCAAAGGAAAGTGTGTGAATAGTGTTAAAGTCAAAACGTGTCAACTAATGAAACACGGAGGTAGTATAATTTACCTGTATATTATGGCCACACCCTGGTTACTCTGGCATATGATACCTTCATCAAGGTATGAATGATCGTCCAATTCGATTATTCCTACTTAAGGGTGTATAGAGGACTAAGAGTATTGAGTATATAGCCGATATACTTTTAAAACAACTCATCATTAACAAATATTCCGTACATTTTTTAAGTTTTAAAGAAGCAAAGCCTTAAAAAAAAAATAAAGAAAAAAATAAAGTGTAAATCACACAGTTTTCAAGCTAGTTGGAAAACAGGATGAGATCGCTCAAGCCAATTATTACAATTAAGTCTTACATATGAAATACTTAGCTTGTACTATGAATAATTTTATGTGCTCCGGTCCTGAACTATATACTCCGTGGCACAAATGCAATTTTAAACGTTTAAAGGATTGATGTCATGATGTGTTGAATGTTTTTAAGAATAATATACAATAGTACTAAATTAACTTACATAATTATTTTTTTAAAAGTCGATGTATTGAATGCTGAAAGACTTGAAACTAAATTGTGCATCGTTTAATTCGCAATAGTTGTACTTACTTCCACCAATTGTATTTTTCATCTTCTATGAAAGGCCGCAAATCTAGTGATATGACCAATTGTATTTTCCATCTTCTATGAAAGGCTGCAAAGCTAGTGATTCTAGATTGCTAGGTACAAAAAATTCATCATCTTTATTGTTGTCTCAAAATTTAAATTTAGTAACATACTCAATAATCTTTATGCCGAGTTTTAGTCATTAACATAGTCACAATTGTGTGTTCAATGATGTATGCAATGCCAATTAGTTTCGTTATGTATATATCGTGATATGTGAGTAAAACATATCAAAACGTTTACAAAAAAGAAATTAAAGTGAAGCCAATAATACAAGTTAACTTGTTTCGAAATGATCCTAGTACATCATTCGAAAGAAAAAGTCCGCAACATATTATGTAATTGTATGGAGAACAAAATTAACAATACAAATTACAACAACATAATCATGAGGCACAGTAAATAAAAGTGCTGCTTGATTTTTATATGGTGGTTGATCTTTTGTGCCAAAAGTAGTACTAGTAATCTATTTTGCTTGGGTTTGATTACGTGCTTTCTCTTTCTCCTTCACTTCACTCCCTTGGTTGCTGTCATGAAAACCTGACAAACCAATCAATAATATAATGATGTTATGTTAGTTTATTTACTTAATGAATTAATGGCCTGAATATATATTTTTTCTGTTAATAATCAAACTTCATATTATACTGACCAGGATCCTGGGTGATTTTCATCTCAGCATTGCCGGCCTCATCGGCGAATTCGTCATTGTCACCGTAAATTCCACCAAACCCTTCGTCGTTACTCCTTGTAGCATATCCTTGTCCAAATGACTCCTCCATCGCATTCCTGTTTGAAACCCATACATAACAAAATATAAGCCAAAACTCTCACCGTAGCATTTTAATAAATCAAATCAACCTCAAAATATATTCAATGCAACCGTTGTAAATATATAAACTACCTCCATTTCTTATTAATTGAAACAAAAAATATTATTTACGAGACATAAAATTTTTTTAGAAAGAGAGGTAGTACATAAATATAAATATAGACCAATGTAACACATGTGAATATGTGATAAGGTAACACGTGCAAACATAATATGCCACACGCATACACATACACCCAGTGTATAATAAAATTTACATCTTTACTACTCGAGTTGTTCTAATCATTACCGAAACAAGGACAAAATATGAAGAAAAAGAATCAAAGAAAGAATACTTACAAATCCTTATTATCCTGATCAGGATATTTGGTGTTCTTCTCCATATTACGAAAATTAGACTTAGGATCTTTACCACTACTAACTTGAACCAATCTCACACTTTCAACTCCTTTTCTGCTAGTTATTGATGATAAACCAGAAGATGAAGATAAAATTGAAGTTTGTGAACTCAATCGACCTAATTTAATTGCGTGATTCATTCCCTTTCTTTTTTTTGACCTTTGTTTTTATTTTTTTCTATGTTAATCGAGTTTAAAAAGGTTTCTTATTGGTAACGAATTTAAATTGCTGGATGCTAGATTGCTCAAGACAATGCCACGTCCTACTACTTTTAACACGTGGAGTGTAGGCATCAACACGTGGCTAGATATTTCCAGATCCTGCTGAGGTTTCGAGATTTTCAAGGTAAAAGTTGTGGATCCGCCCACGTAATCTCAAGAAATGATTTTAATTTTTATCTTTTGGATTTTACTTTGAGAGCTTACTTGGGCCTTTTGACTTGTTTAGGCCCAAAATTATCGTGCTTCAGATATCCAAAATATTTTATGGGTACTTTTGAGTATTTGGCCCATTATCAAGGAAATTGTACGTATGAAATGAAAGAATAAAGAGCGTGCTCCGTTACACAATTTCCTTTACAATTCTACTTCGTAGAATAAATGCAATGTAATTGAAACATATATAATATATTTAATGTATTACTTTATTAGTAGATATTAATAGTATTTTTTAAAATAATTTTTATTAATATTAATTATATAAAAATAAGGTTTAATTAGTGCATTACCATGTGTGCAAAGTTTGATTGTGTTAATTATTTCTGAAATAGAGCAAATACTACCTGTACACTATAGACCCATGACATAATAGATATGCCTGATGAGAGTGAGGGATAGCTTAGGTGGTTAAGAGCTCCCCGGAAATCCTGAGATCAATATCGATTCTCATCATCTGCCTTTGTGGCTCTCTAAACAACAACAACAACAACAACAACAACAACAAAAAAAAAAAAGGTAGATACACTTGATGGGCCTACCAAGCTAATGTGAATGAAACAATTATAAGTGGTAAAGAAAAAAAGTCTAAAGCATGAAGGGATTTTGGCCGGGGAAAGAGGGGAAGTAGGGTGAAGAAGGCCCAAACAACCAATACCATTATTTAGGGCTGTCTCTTCATTTAGTTATTCCATTCTCTTTCGGACTTTCACTAACCCACAAGTCACAATTTACAAATGCCAAAATATCTTACGAGGTTTTGGACCATCAAGAGTACTACAACAGACCATGTCATATTGTCATCCGTATTCAGCAACACCACTCATGCAAATTTTGACAAAGAAAAGAGAAGATAATTGTACTTGAATTTCGAGTAATTTTATCATTACACCCTGTCAACAACAAATTGTAGGATGCACTACCACTATGCAAGGAATGACACCCGAGTGAAAATTGAAAGCTCTTGTGTTGTGCATTTGTACATGTCATGTGAAGATCCACATCATTATCGCCACTGGGATGACACGTATGTCGTTATATGCCACTTGAGCTAGATATTATTGTTTTGAAAAGCAGTTTCAAGCTCTTAGCAATTTAGCATGTTATTAATTAAAAGACAAAATTTTAAGTAACTTTGTATTATTTAGTGCCCTACACCTATATGCACGATATGTTACAATGTTGTTTATTCAATTATCTGTCTATTTGGATTTTCTAGTCTATTTCAAAATTTTTTTTCTTTCTATATTAATAACCACGTCACCTATTGTCTAGCCTTCACAATTACAAACAAACATCGTCCTCATACTACTATAATGTATTGGACACGATTCATAAATATATATTCACCGATAAAGCTTATAATCTTTCAACCTACCAAGTCATTTCATGAAATGAGATTAAATCTAAGCCCGACATTTATAGCTCTCATTCTCCTTGGTGAAATCTCCTAACTCTTACTGACATGCAAAAAGCCTCAAAATCATTAGATGGAGACAAATTCTAACAAATTACATGATACTATTAGTGTTATATATAATGACTGATTTTTTTTTTTCCTTTTCCCTTTCATATTACAAATATGTGGATGTCAAAGAGAGAAAGCTTCCAATATACGACTCTAAAGGATAGGATAAGTGGGGCAGAATGGCCAATTTTCCATGATAGACAAAGACTAGCACTTAACCCATGAACAAAACTTGTGAGGATGAGCAAACCAGTAAGATTAAATCAGCCCCTTCGAAGTTCAAATCCAATTACGACGAGTTGTGGCTATTTCCATGCCGATTGATAGAGAAATTGCGAAAAAGACGGGCGGCCGAAGAACTTAAAAATATCATTATCAGAATCGATTGTCATAAGCTTTAGAAGATCATTAATACAAATGCAGCTAAAAAATGTAATGTAATGGGTCACCTTCTGATAACACTATTTATAGGACCTTGACGCTTGAAAGGACAATGACTTTGATTTCTTCATTTAATAACCTTAGGTTGCCATTTTGAGTTCTGCTGTCTAGCCCTTAGTATCAAAAGTATGTAAGGACCCCCCTTTTTATGTTTGTTTCCCTTTTTAATTGGCTCGTCCTAGTCTTAGTAAATCGATAGTGATCTTCCAACCCCTCTTATGAAAAATCATACACCTTATATCATAGAACCTCTTTCACCTGCTAAAACAAACTACCACCCAACTACTATTTTACAACATACAACTACTTTTAATTTAGATTTCTTCGGCGAGTTATTACATCATCCTAAACAACGCTAGGTTCTCCAAGCCAGGATTCTAATCTTGGGCGAACATAACACATGCCAATGACTCCATCCTATACTACCAGACCACGGGATACACCAAAATAGTAGCCAGAGCATATGGGCGACACAAGGCACATTGCCGACTCAAAATGCATGTAGACATCATTCTTCAATCCTCCTTAAGCATTGTTAGCTTGTTAGGTACACCAGAATATAGAAAAGAGTTTTGTGAAAGGCTTATATGAACCCTAGTGTAGACTTACAATTCAACACGAAAACCAAAGCTTCGTCTTACAACGAGAATACCGATTTGTTACTATCTTCATTTATGTAACCTAGAGTAGAGGACTGTTTTTAGCTAGACATTCAACTTTGAATGAAAAATGATGAACCTTGCTATATACATCATCATCGGAAGATGGGGAAACATGCAATTTAACACCAAGAAGGAAAATAGATACAAGTAAAACATTTGCATAACCCCATTTCATTCTCCCATATTCTTTTTACACTTGTATTATTGGACAATTTCTAGCCTAAAATCAAAGAAAAACCCCTAAACAAAATAAAATAATAACCCCATTATCCCAATTACATTCCTATATAGAAACCAAATTACTTAATCCAAAAAAAAAAAAAAAAAAAACCCTAATTTATAACTAAAAAAAACACACTAGCTAATTAATTAATCAATGCCAAGAAGAAACAGAGAGAAGAGGGACATCATTCCAAGCAAGAGAAAGAAACCCTGGTGGAGAATCCACCAACTTATAGGATGAACTATAATTATAATTCCACAGCAATATCTTAGCTTGACTATTTGCATAATGGCTAAGGGTTACCGGCTCAAAACCGGCATTCTCCAATAATCCTTTCCATTCTTCTTTGCATTCCATCCTTTCTCTTCTGGTTCCCGGTAACTCCGGCCCAACTGACCCCATTATTCTCCGCCCGAATATCAACCTCTCTACCTGAACCCGGTCCACTGAATCCCTATCCATATTCGGCTCAAGCGACTCGAATACAGAGGAATAGTATTTGATTGCAGTTTTAAATCGGGTCAAATAACCCACCCGATTTAAACCCACTTCGTATTCACCAAGTGTAACTATCTTCGGTTTCAGTGATTTAGCAAGTTTTAATGCAGCTTCTACTTCAATTGTTGTTTCATCTAAAAGATTGTATAATTGGAGCATAAAGTTAACTGTAAGTACCTCATCCGGGTCAACCCGGAAATTTGACTCGGTCAACTCCTGGATTGGGGTGAGAACTGGTTCGAACTCGAAGTTGAGTTCTAGAACTTTCGCGAACTCTCGAAGACGGTTGCCAGTAGCGAAGAGAGCACTCGCCGGAGATTCCCCTAGTGCTGGAGCAGGAATCCCGGAGATCCGAATCTTATTGGGCTTTCCGGTGGGCCGAGTTGCAAGGGCTTGTAAAAGAGCGGCCCATTGGACTCCTTGTACTATCCCAAAATCAACAATATGGATCTTTTCTGCTCCATCAGTGGCTTCAAGTATAGCTTGATTTGCTGTTAAATGCGCAAATTTAGAGAAAGGGCACGCGTCGTTTAATGCTTTGTATGACAGAGTACACTCCTCAGACGCCGTCGTTTGAACGATTGAGGAAGATATCGGAGGAGAAAGACGGCAAGAAAGAGCCTCGGTGAAGTAGAACGCAACTCGTTGAGTAGGATCGCCGTGTTGTGAGACTGAATCTCTGAGTCTAACCAGTGATTTAACGGCACGTTCAGGGTCAGACTCCGCAACGCGAGCACAATCCAGTAAAGCAGTAATTAATGGCGGCCATGAATGCTCTTGTTCTTGTTCTTCTTCGGCAATAGCGGCGGCAACAGCGGCGGCGTCGTTTTGGTTTTGAGGAGGTTCGAGTGGTTGCGATTGTGGGTCCTTTAATGGAGGAGAAGGTGGGACCCATGGTTGTGTTGTAACGGTCTTATCTGCATCCGAGTAAATAACTCGAGCGAGATCCGACGGTGGAGAAATCGCAACATTGATCCGATTAGGACACGTGGCAAAAGGATCAGCATTAACACCATCATAAAGACTAAAATCAGCGGCGCCGCTTACGCCTTGCCACGCGTCACAAGCGGATTGAAGGTTAGACCCATCATTATTACCGGCTTCAACGGCACCACCACCAGCACTCATTAAACTCTCCATCCACTCGTCGGAGTCAAACTCACCGGGCGCCCCATCGCAAAAATCAGCAAATCGAAACGACGTCGTAGAAGTATGGTCTAACCAAGGCTCGTTGGCGTCAGGCGGTGGTGGGCCGACTTGAAAAGGGTCGTGAAAGGGCGGACCACCGCCGCCGAAGCCCAAAGGGGGTGGTGGGCTGGTGGACATGGGCGGAACAGGGACGGCCCATGGGTTGAGAAAAAAGGGGTTATTTGGGCTGAGAAATTGAGATTGATGGTGGTGTTGATTATGGTGGGTTTGTTGTTGCTGTTGTTGATGTTCGTGTTGTTGTTGTTGTTGCTGTTGTTTGATGACTTGTTGAGCAATAGCCATGAGATTACCACTATCAGCGCACATGTAAGCCATTAGAGGAGGAAGAAGAAGAAGGGCCTAATGTTGAAGACCGTAAAATTAATAAATTAGCATAAAGAGGAAATGAGAGTGAGAGTGAGAGAGAGAGAGTGAAGAGGGGTTAGTGGGGGTTTAGGGGGGGAGGAAGAGGAGAGAGAAAGGGGGAGAATAGAGGGGGAGTGTGGTAAGCTTTAAAGAAGGGAAAAGGTGAGAGAGAGGGGGAGCAGTGAACGAGGCCAAAAACACTGATTAAACAACCCCCAAATCGATGTGTCAGTTGGCCCTACTTCTGTGTTCACCGGTAGTTGTGATCTACGACTACATTTTTAATTCTTTTTTATTTTTGAATCTTAGGCCTTTTTTCCCTAAATATTGTTTCAATTTGTTTTGATGACTTTTAATGTAGAGCTTTGACTATTACGGAGAGTTATGTTAGTTAAGGGTGTTGTTAAACGTCGTTCGTATTTTACTAGGTGATGTTCACATTTTTTACATGAATTTTCTAAATTGCCCTTTGTATATAAATACTCGATAAAGTAAGTTAGGGCTTTACGAGACATTTTCCATCTTACAAAATCACTCTTTGACACTTTCTCTATCTAAAACCTTCCAAAAAATCTGAAATTTTGAAGAAAAAAAAAATTAGAATTTTTTTTTTTTTTTTAAAAAAAACCAAAATAGTTGAAGGCTACTCAAACACAAGCAAATCTTGCAATCAAACGTTGAATCCGACAATGGCAGACCGACGGAGAATTAGGCTGACGTTTGGTGGTCGTGGTGGCGGCGTTAGCGGCGGCGAGCCGGTGAGTTTTTTTTTTGTTTTAAATTTTTGAATTTTGAAAAAAAAAATTCTGGACAAGGGGACTTCCGCCCAGAAATTCCGGAAGTCCAGGGGAACTTCCGGAAATTTCAGGCGGAAGTGGGGTTTCCGCCTGAAATTTCCGGAAGTTCCCCTGGACTTCCGGATTTTCTGGGCGGAAGTCCAGTTTCCAGGTTTTTTTTTTTTTTTTTTCTATTATTCCCTTTTTTTTTTTTTTTTTTTTGGTTTTTGTGTTTTTCTGTTTTTCCACCTTTTTTTTTGTTTTCTGTTTTTCCTTTGTTTTTTATTTTATGTTTTTCTTATTTTTTTTTTGTCCTCGATTTTGTTGATTTGGTGCATGTTTTAATTTGAAAATATTTGTGTCCTTCATTTTTTTTTTTTGAAGTAATTTGTGTCCTTCATTTGTGGCATTAAAATAATTTTTTTCTTGATTTAGTTTTGCAATAGTTATTGATATATATTTTTTGTTGATTTAGTTTTACAATAATTATAGTTTAGCATTAAAGTAAGTTTGTTGTTGCTATGTATTGTTATTGTTATGTAAATTTGGTTTGGTTTGTATTGGTTTTTGCTGTTGTTGTTGTTATGTATTATGGTTGTTTACTTAAATTGTTGTTATTGTTATTGTAATTGTTTTTTTTATTGGGTTGTCGTTGTTGCGTTTAAATTTTGGCAGTTTTGTGGTTAATTATAGTTTTGATTTGGTCTGTTATTGTGTTGAAATTATTTGTAGTGTGTTAGTGTGTTGTTATTGTTAGTAGTGTGTTAGTGTGTTAGTGTGTTGTTATTGTTAGTAGTGTATTAGTATTGTAAGAAAATTCTGATTTGTCGGTGTCACGCTAACTATCTCAAAGAACGGCATCCCGTATCGGTTAGTCTTGTAAGTGGAATCCATACCGATCACATAGGGTTACGTCCGTAGGATGTCTACCATGACCGGATGCGCCATAAAGGCGTGCTGTAAAACGCCTTCATCATCGGACATGACCCAGTAAACATACTGACTCTGTCTCGCCAAATGTAGAAATTGCTGAACAACTCCTCTCCCATCAAATATCTCCTCTCTGAAGTCATTCCGGCAGTTGTAGATGTGTCTGATGTTTGGATGATCATCAGGAAATTGCTCCGCAATAGTCGCCATGATGTTACGCGGTGCAACCTTAGACTTCGTCATGTCACGCACAACCTGCTTCGCATTCGGGCTCAACCCACTAATTTTACGATGACCCTCTGGATACGCAATCATTGAATGGTTGTGGGTCCCAGTTACATCATCTTTCGCCCGGATAAACCAAGTATTGGTGACGAACTCGTAACATATCTTGATGTAGAAAGGACACCCAATGCCCTTGGTTTTGGTGTCCTTCCAAATTGCGTTCTCAAGATCTCTCGGCTTACTCCTGCGTCCCCGGTCACATCTTAAATATCGAACTGGTCGACCATCCCTCTGTTTGTTGAAAGACGATTTCACCAAAATAAATCCCAGATTTATTGCAACAGCATCCGCCCATGTAACTGCATCGTCAAACGTTAGAAAAACCGTGTCTGTCACAAAATGTGCACTGTAATTCACAACGTCACCGTCATCTTCAACCTCCGAATCCTATCAAAATAACAATACAAACAAATAAAACACGCAAGGATTACTATTTTAAATTTAACAATAATAATAACAATAATAATACAAATAATCATAATAATAATAAAAATAACAATAATAACAATAATAATATTAATAGTATTAATAGTAATAGTAATAATAATAATAATAATAATAATAATAATAATAACAATAACAATAATAATACTAATGATAATAATAATAACAATAATAACACTAATGATAATAACAATAACAATAATAATACTAATAATAACAACAACAATAACTACGTAACATTAACAAATAATAACTAATATAATAATAATAACAACAATAGTAATAATAATAGTAGTAATAATATTAATAATAATCATAATCATAACAGAAATTTACAAAATTAACAAAACTAATATTAATAACCATAATAATAATAATAATAATAATAATAACAATAACAATTACGTAAAAACAAAAACAAAAAAAAAAAAAAGGACATCCGCTTGTTTTTTCCGGAAATCTGGGGGAGATCCGCCCAAAATTTCCGGATGTCCCTAATTACATCCGGAAATTTCATCCGGATGTGTACATCCGCCTGAAATTTCCGGATGTTATTGGGGACATCCGGAAATTTTGGGCGGATCTCCCCCAGAATTCCGGAAAAATCAAGCAGATGTCCTATTTACAAAAAAAAAATTCCGAAATACTTACAGATTCTTCCGTCGAACCCTCCGGCGTGTGAACGTTGTCGTCTTCCATCGTAAAACATCACTCTGTACACTTTCCTTTTTTGGCCCGGGATTTTTAAATTCCTCGGGATTACCGTACAATGGTAGAACCGGGATTTTTTAATGCTCGGGATTTTTTTAACACAAGTGGTGGGTCGGTAATGTTTTTAATGTTGTCGGTAACTAAATTTACCCATGGTGGACCCTTAAATAGATAAAATACCCACAAGGGCAAAAATGTCATTTCAATTAAAAATGTGAACGTCACCCAGTAATTTGCGAACGACGAATAGCAGTTCAATTAGTTAATTAGTTTACGAAGTACATATACGGAGTAGAAAAGTGTACAGTATAAATATTGAAAATTCTTATATGTATTTCATACACAATTTTTTGTATGCGGCATGGGTTACTCGAGTTATTTGGTCAAGGGTTACTCAAGTTTCTCGATTAGGGGTTATTGGACTTGCCGGGGTTACTCAAGTTACTTGGCCAGGGGTTACTTGAGTTACCCCTAACCGAGTAACCCCTAACTGAACCCTCAAGTAACCCTTGGCCGAGTAATCCCTTACCGAACTCCTTAAGTAACCCCTGACCGAATTACTTGAGTAATCTCTGACCGAACTACTTAAATAACTCCTACCCGAGTAACTTGAGTAACCCTTAGTCGAGTAACTCGAGTAACCCTTGACCGAGTAACTCAAGTAACCCCTAACTGAGTAATCCCTCAAGTAACCTCTGACCGAGTAACTCAAGTAATCCCTAACTGAATAACTCGGGTAACCCTTGCCACACCGTGTGGCCTGCTGCACCAAAAAGTTGCTGCATTTCATAAGGTGCATTCTTATACTTCTTAATCCTTCTGATACAATGATTAATCAATTGATTCATTTGACTATCAATATCTTTAATTATATACGAAGTATTTTAATTTATATTTTTTAAAACTTTAACCATGTAAAATTGATATGAGCACATCATTTAGAGTGGAAGGAAGCATGATACTTTAATCATTCAAGGAATGGTGGGCTATTTGGTACTCCCTTCGTCCCCAAATGAATAATCCTTTTGAGCAACTTTCACGGGAATTAAGATAGTGAAAGAGGAAGTAGTAAAAGTACATCGGAAAATTAAATTCACATGAGGTTTGCAGAAAAGTAGAGAGAGAAAGTAATAAAAATACATGAAAAATCTAACTTTGTACAAATATTGTTGCAAATTGGGGCGTATTTTAATGCAAATGGGATGATAATTTTGGGACTAGATTTTGACCATAACGGGGCGTTTGGAATGTGGGAATGAGATTTTGGGGATTGAAATGTGAGAATGAGATTGAGAATAAATTGTTGGGAAGATATAAAAATATGGCAATACTTTGTTTGGATGGCAAATGGGAATAGGCAGGGAATAAATAACAAAAATACAAAATTATCCTTACTAATCTTACTCCTCCATTCTTTTTATTAATGACAAAAATGTCAGTTTCTTCTTATTCCATTCCCATTCATTTATTACCTACTCTCCCTAGGTAATAAAATGGTGGGAATTCACCCCATTTATTCCCAATCTCATTCCCTTCTTTATTCCCAATCCCATCTAACAAACAAGAGAATTATTGATGATTCACCCAAGGCAATTCGGCAAGACGTAGTAGAGCCAATGTATGGTAAGTGGTCATCCAGTCATTATAGAACGGTAAAAAGCAAATTTTGACAACAAAAAAGGGAGTTCATGCTCATGGTATTAGATAAGTTGGTAAAACTTAAAGGTGGTGGGAAAGTGTGAGGAAGTCCATGCGCATAATTACCATTATCATGAATGACAATAATAAGTGTTTGTTAGTACATTTATATCTCATGTTGGTATAGTAATTGTATTGTATGAAGTTTAAAAATACCAACGAAACTTTGTTATTATCATTAAAGACGTGAACAATTATTGATTTAAACAACCTTGGGAGCGCGTTTCTATTTGGACGGCTAGGGGGCATGGTCTACTAAAAGGATGAAAGTGAGTGGGGGTACTAAGTGGGGTAGATGCCAAGAAAATCTAAACCAACCGTAATGAATTAACTGAATTATAACTGTTGAAAAGCTAATTTGAGCTAGCTAGTACTCCATATTGAACTACTTTTGAGAGGGTATTACAATATTTGCTTTACAAACATCAACAATGGAATTAAAAATCAACAAGATGTATATTCAGTGTAAGCTATATCAAAATAAAACATCTCTAATATCATTCATATGTTCTTATTTGGTTGCAAATCTTGCAACTAAGTAGAATGGGTCATAAATAAAATATTAATTAAATAAAAAATGTAAAAGAGA